CAAGCTGTCCCACAGAGATCAAGTTCTTTCTAAGGTCAAGAATATGTCTCACTCCTTGCAGCTTCCATGTGGTTTGATTTGGCAATTCTAATCGGATGACTCCCTTGCCAACAATTTTTAAGGTTTCATCATCTGCTAGATGTACCTTTCCGAAATCATCGTTGACGTAGTTCTCCATGATTTCTCGGCATGGGGTAGAATGGAAGGATGCCCCTGAATCAAGAATCCATGATTCAATCGGACTGTTGACGTTTAGAATCATAGCATCACCTCCTTCCTCGATCACTTGGCAGACTCCTGTGCGTCAGTATTTTTCTTCGGTGCCCGACACCCCCTCTTGAAATGACCATTCTTGCCACAATTATAGCACTTGAAATCTTTCTTTCCCGATCTAGATTTGTTTGTTCTAGATTTTGATCTGCCGTGATTTGAACTTCTTTCTGAAGTTCTTCCTCTAGACTCCGTGTGTAAAGCTGAGGAGGTTGAAGCTTCATCTGATTCTCTCCGTCGAATTTCTTCACTAAGAATCAGATCACAAACGTCATGGAATTTTAACTTGTTGCTTCCCGATGAGCTACTCACAGCCATGACTGTAGCATTCCAGCTTTCTGGTAGAGAAGAAAGAAGTATCAATGCTCGTACTTCTTCATCAAATTCAATCCCAACTGAACACAACTGAGTTGTGACTGTGTTGAGTTCATTGAGATGTTGAGCTACCGATGCGCCTTCTGTCATCCGTAAATTGAACAGCCACCTCATTAAGTGAACTTTGTTTGAGGCAGAGGGCTTCTCATATATGCTGCAGAGAGCCGTCATAAGATCCGTCGTGATCTTTTTCTTTGTTATGTTGAAAACAACATTACGGGATAACGTCAATCAGATAACTCCAAGGGCTTGTCTGTCGAGAAGAGCCCACTATTCATCCTTCATATCATCTGGCTTACTTCCTGAGAGAGGTTGATACAACTTCTGGTACAGATAGTCTTCCATTTGCATCTTCCAAAAGCCAAAGTCCGCACCATCGAACTTTTTAATTTTCACATTCCTTTCATCTGCAGCCATCGCTCCCACTCGAATCTGGCTTCCTCTAGATTGTTTTTGACAATTTTTGCGAACCACCGTGTATTAGAACACTGCTGTCAACGAACAAGTGTCGCTGACAAAATTTCACTATTCACGAAATTTACTATTCACATGAATAGTAATCTTACAGAAAAATTGACAGAAGTCACAACCAGAGCTCTGATATCAGTTGTTGGGAAATTACTCAGATTCCCCTATTATTAGATTTAAGGAAAATAAGATAAATGCGTAAAAAGTGGGACACGCAAGATTTACGTGGTTCGGCACAAACTTATCTACATCCACGGGCTGCTGTAGATTTTTCACTATGAAGAGAAATTTTACAACACAAATTTCTTACAACCCAATCCCTACTCTGAAAATTGCTCATAATTTTCTCTCATAAAGATTTTTTTCTAAGCCTCTCTTTTTACTCTCTTACTCTTCTATAAGAGGAGTTGTTTCTGGGATGAGTTTTTCCTTAAGAGTTTGAGGCCTATTTATAGTGTTTTGAAAAAATACTATGCACCAATAATTTATTACTGGTGGGACCCGTGGTGGGGCCCGTGGTGGGGGCCTACCCTTCTTTTTCTCTTTCAAAATTTTCGACCGCCAAAAGAATATGTTGGTTTTTTTATTTTGTCAATAAAGGGAAGAGGAGTGGTGGTTTTCGGTGGCAGCCAATGTTGACTAACAAGATGGAATTTTGAAGCTTGAAAAGATTAGTAGAGCTCAAAATCCAGCAAACATGCTGACAAAGACGGTGATTACTGACAAACTGAAGCTGTGTTCAGCTTTAGTTGGCCTGCAATAGTAACAAGATCGAGAAAGAGCTGCTGCAGAGATCGAGATGTGAAGATAGATTGAAATCAGTCTTCAAGTGGGAGATTGTTAGTCAACATTGGCTGCCACCGAAAGCCACTACTCCTCTTCCCTTTGTTGACAAAATGAAAAAGCCAACATATTCTTTCGGTGGTCGAAAATTTTGAAGGAGAAAAAGAAGGGTGGGCCCCTATCATGGGCCCCATCGCGGGTCCCACCAGTAATAAATTATTGGTGCATAGTATTTTTTCAAAACACTATAAATAGATCCCAAACTCTTAAGGAAAAACTCATCCCAGAAACAACTCCTCTATAAGAAGAGTAAGAGAGAGAGAAAAGAGTGGCTTAGAGAAAAGTCTTTGTGAGAGAAAATTATGAGCAATTTTCAGAGTAGGGATTGGGTTGTGAGAAATTTGTGAGAGTGTTGTAAAATTTTTCTTTATAGTGAAAGATCTGCAGCAACCCGTCAGCCCGTGGATATAGGCAAGTTTGTGCTGAACCACGTAAATCTTGCGTGTCACTCTTTTTGCGCATTTATCTTGCTTTCTATTAAATCTGGTAATAGGGAAATTTGAGTAATTTCCCAACAAGGAGAGAGAGGCTAAGAAGATGTAGGGTTGGAGAAAGAGGGAAAGGAGGAGGTAAGAGTGAGGATATGAGAAAATGAGGTAGAGAATGGGAGAAAGGAGGGGAGGTTTAGGATTGAAAAGAGAAAGGAATGACGGAGATGGTAGGAAGGAGGGAGGAGATGGTGGGAAAGGAGGGAGAGGAGTTTTTTAATACAAATTTTAGAACTTGAGCAATATATTTGAAAATGTCGGAGATTCGAGGGGTATATTTGAAAAAATTCGTTAATTTTTCGTTTAAAATTTGTCTTCGACGATCGCCTTAGGTCAAAGTGTTGTCAGTGTTACTTTGTAGGCCCAAGTGGTAAAGAGAAAGGAGGGAGGTTTAGGATTGAAAAGAGAAAGGAATGACGGAGATGGTAGGAAGGAGGGAGGAGATGGTGGGAAAGGAGGGAGAGGAGTTTTTTAATACAAATTTTAGAACTTGAGCAATATATTTGAAAATGTCGGAGATTCGAGGGGTATATTTGAAAAAATTCGTTAATTTTTCGTTTAAAATTTGTCTTCGACGATCGCCTTAGGTCAAAGTGTTGTCAGTGTTACTTTGTAGGCCCAAGTGGTAAAGGGGTCTCACTTTTTAGGCCAATTTGGTATTTTAGCCATAAATTATCAAATGGAAGAAAACATGCCTCTTAGATGCAATCATTATTAAATTTCTGTAAGTTTATTCCAAATTTCAAGTAGAATCCTTTCAAAAGAAAAGGGAAAAAGATTCATTTAAGCATGGAAAAAAACCACGAAAGGCGTCTAACCGCTTAACACTAGCTTGGACCGTTTTGGACTGCTTCACCATTCTAGGTGGATTTTAGGCACTTTCTTCTCAAAAGCGCTTTTGGGTGTGCTTGTGCAATGAATGCGGCTTAGCCGCTTAATAGGTCTGCTTTGGGGCTCAGCGGAGCTGGAAGGTGCCACTTCCGCATTTCTTAGTTTTTTTTCCGCTTTGTACAACACTGGATGGGATACTTCGACTGTTCTCGCTCTTGTTCCTTTATGTTCAGGTGTCATCAAAGATTGGAAGGGCGACCGCCATATTTAACGAGCTTCATCATTTGTCACAACCTTGAGATTTTGTTTTGTGTTGTTCTACCGGACACAAAATGAGAGATAAAAGTTAAACTTTGTCTTGGTCTGTTGACTGACAAGGTCAAATACAGTCTGCGACGTAGGACAAACTGGTCACTTATGTTCGAAATCTATCTTGTAGCTTAATGAATTAAGTAGCACTGGTATGCTCCGTCCTTCCCATAAATAGACATTAACCTGTAGTCAGTGAGGGTACGGTACAAATAAGTGGTGGTCAAATTAGCCAAATAGTTTTTAGTCTTTATTATCTTTTAAGGTATTGTTTAGCAATGGGTTAAATAAGAAGTTAAAAGGGGGTAGCCCCTTCTTAACCTTCCAAACACAAAAAACAAATCCTATATAAGTAGGACAAGGTAATCCGTCTTAAGCAGGTTAAAAAGAGTTAATCTCTCATTTTTGTTTAATATTCCACCTCTTTAAAAGGTTCAAGAAATAAACATTTTGTGTAAAGAAAAGCTTAATAGTTCTCTCACAAATCTCTAACAAAGAGCTCAAGGATAATATAAATCTTATGAAACAAATTGTCCAATTTAATACAGTTTTACTTGAAATGGATTAAATAGGTTAACTTGAAATGCGTTAAGTCAATTTCTCATCAAGTATAATCCCCAGGTTCGGCGTCCTTTGGACATGGTTTGATTTATTTATTTTACTAGCATCAACTTTGAATCTAGACTTAAATGGTGCATTTACATCAAGTATAAATATTATGAAACAAATTGTCCAATTTAATACAGTTTTACTTGAAATGGATTAAATAGGTTAACTTGAAATGGGTTAAGTCAATTTCTCATCAAGTATAATCCCCAGGTTCGGTGTCCTTCAGACATGGTTTGATTTATTTATTTTACTAGCATCAACTTTGAATCTAGACTTAAATGGTGCATTTACAGTTTATTTCTTAGTGTGAATATCAATGTATCATAATGTCTGAGGCATGTATGAACACATTAACTTGGATCATTTTGACAGTCCAAACTTAGTACTCATTTAGCAAGTAACCTGATACGGTTTTCCAGTAATTCAAACAATATTTCATTATGTGTCTTACAAATAATTTATAAATCCTTCTGTTTCTTTAAAAAAATTCCTGGAAAGGTACCTTATTTGACTTTATCCCCCCTTTTTACTAATGCTCTAATCCCTATTTAAAAAAATAGATGAATATATGGTATTCTGAGAGATTTGTGTAAACTAAGGGACTATAAAACAGGCATATCTGAATTTATTTCATTAGATATTAAAAAAAACTTGAGAGTTGTATGCTATTTGCTATAGTGAAGATAAACACAACATTAGTGAAATAATTGGTTCGGATTTGCATTGTTTGTTATATGTCTACATCTCTTGCATATACTTGAGCTATTTACCCATCTTTTTTTTTTGCCGTTTTTATCTTTGGTGCAGGTTACACATGTTGGTGCAGTGTCAATTGCTGATTTAGTTAAGACGACTTTAGGGCCTAAGGGAATGGTATATAGGCTTTCAATTAATATCTTATTTGATTCTGGCTTTCCACTTTTGATTAATGAATTAACCTTGTGATTAAATACACTTGAATGTAGGACAAAATTTTGCAGTCCACTGGGAGAGGGCGTACTGTTACAGTCACCAATGATGGTGCTACTATCTTAAAGTCACTCCATATTGATAACCCTGCTGCAAAAGTTCTTGTTGGTATCCTCATTACATTTTCGGGTGCCAGTAAGGAATCATATTGGTAATGTGCAAATAGTCAGGCACGATTCTTGTCTCTTTGCTCCTAATTTAAACAATTAAACTACGTGTCAAACCCTTCATTTCTGCCTGACATTGTAATTGCTTCATCCTATTCCTTTGACTTGCAATTAAAAAACTAATTTCTAGGTTTGTAAGAACATTTACTAGTATTATGTGTTGGTCATTTCTGTTGATAAGACATGACAGAAGTGAATATTTGTCCTTAATTCAAGACTTAGATATTTCGAAAGTTCAAGATGATGAAGTGGGTGATGGGACAACTTCTGTTGTTGTTTTGGCTGGAGAGCTTTTGAGGGAAGCTGAAAAGTTAATCATGACAAAGATTCATCCCATGACTATTATAGCAGGTATGTTCTAAGGTTTACTTGGCAAATTTATTGCTGGAAAGCTTATTTCAAGGTGCATATTCTTTAAAAGGCAATTCTGTTTAATGTAGTGCTTGCAGTTTTAGTTTATATATTTTTGCAATATGTTTAGCATGGTTATTCCAATTTTGAGTTCCTGTCAAAGTTTACTTGGTTTACCTAAACTTGGTTTGGGATCATACTCTAGCTGGCTCACGAATAGATGATATATATTCATGTGTCCTCTTCTGAGTGCAGTAGGATTATTATGTTTAATATTTGTATTTCTGTTTGCTGTATACGTGTGATTCTTTTTGGTGTGTTTTGAAACTTCTATTGTTTCTTAGGTTATAGAATGGCTGCTGAATGTGCACGGAATGCATTGTCAAAGAAAGCCAAGGATAACAAACAAGATCCAGGTAACAATCAGTTAATGTTTATACCACTTGAAGTTGAGCAGATTCAGCACAGCATTGTAAAGAGAATTGCATTCAACTCTAAGCCCACAAGTGAAATTAAAATAGCTAAATAAAAACTGATTAGGGCGCAGATGGCCGAAGTAAAGATCCTAACCATTTAATAGAAGCTTTGGGTTATACCATTGGTCATTAGGAGCAGTACGTAGCACTAGCATGCGCTTTGTCCATTCTATTTAATGTGATCCGGCATTTTTTGTGTGTATCTTTATGTGTGCTATTCTTGTATTGAAATGCAGAGAAATTCAAGTCAGATTTGATGAACATTGCAATGACAACTTTGAGTTCAAAAATTCTCTCCCAGGACAAGGAACACTTTGCTACACTTGCAGTTGATGCTGTTATGAGGCTTAAGGTAACTGCTTTCCTTACATTGTACGCCTGATTCTCTTTCTTATAATGTTGCAGCCTTTTGATGGATCCAATATTTGAGTTGTAGAATACCTCTTATTTAAGCTGCTAGCTTATCTTACAAATTTCTTTCTTGAAAAATATGGGTTCTTATTTTCTAAAGATTTTGGTTTTGAATTGATAGTTTAAAAATGAAGTATGATTTAGCATTATATTTATCATCTTAGTATTGACCCTAATGTGTTGCACTTGATATGGACTGTTTAAACCAGCTATGCTGATTTCTTAGACTCGTCCAGGAGTTAATTTTGATGAAAGAAATGTTTTGACATTTCCTTGAGATCATGCTCAAAATGCAACTTGAAATCTTTTTATCAGTTGCTTTGAGTAAATAACTGTGGCTAAATTATAGTGGTCTTTGGAGAATAATCATTCCTTAATAACTAAATTCTTGAATACTGATATTACTTTATGCTCACTCAAAAGCTTAGTGACATGATTGTTTTTGTTTGGGTCGCGGATCCCTTGTTTTGTTGTACATGTTTATGGCCATAGCTATATGACCACATGCCTAATATTTTTCTTCAAAATTGTAAGGATTGTGTATGATGGGTTCCCATTATATTGTTTTCTTCTTGTTTTACTGACGTTTGAGTGATTTTTCTGCATTTTTTATGGCAGGGTAGTACAAATTTGGAGTCAATTCAAATAATCAAGAAGGCTGGAGGTTCCTTGAAGGATTCATTTTTAGACGAAGGGTATGAATTTACGGCATCAGTCTTTTTTTAAAAAAAAATTTAATGATTGCTCCAGCATCCATGGTTCATGCACTTATTCACCTATTTACACTTAATTAGCTTTTTAATTTTGGGGGCATAATATCTGTTTGCATATCTTTTCATATTCATCATTATTTACTATTAGTCTCTGGTATTTTTTTTGGGTACTATTAGTCCCTGGTATTTTTTTTTCTTGGTACGTGATGCCATATTTTAGCAAATTGCTGGCTAGGAAAAAGGTAAATTGGTGCTTTCTGTCTTAAGGTTATGGGGTTGAATATATTACCTCTCATGTTCTTCGTTTCCTAGTGAAAGCTTAAGTTTCTATAATTGGTTCTTATTGCCTACAAAGTCTTTATCTGATAGATGTTATGTCTTTTTGGTTCTTCGTTGTTTAATTGTGAGTTATGCTTCACATACTATCCTACTATTGTATGCTTACTGCTGGCTATTGTCTTCTATGTTGCTGCATTTTCTATTCTTTCCTGTTGCTATAACTTAAACCTAAAAAAGCTTGTGACTTATAGCCCACAAATATCGCAAATTTTGAAGTACATGTAATTAGTTGTCATTTGGTCGTCAAAACAGATGAAACGCACAAAAATTGTGGGCAATAACCCGTGAAAATTACATTTTTTGCAGCGAAAACCACAAAATAGTCATAATTGGTAGGTTAAAGCCCTTGAAAATTGTGGATTATGTGGTACGCATATTTATTTGCCATTGGGACTAAGAACGATAGTTGACTATAGAATTGTTCATTATACCCCATGAAAATCACAAATTTTTAATAAAGAAACCCTAGCTGCCATTAGGTTGAAAAACAGTGTTGTGAAAAACAGGTGCCATGTCAGACATGGTGGCCGGGTTCGATCTCAAACCACCACGACTTGGCACCTTCGATGACATATATTGTTTTGGGCTTCAAATTGGACGCAATTTCGGGTCTTAAATTGTGCTCGACGTCTCTCTCCCCCCCTCTCGATCTCGATCTTGATCTCTCGCGATTTCAAAACTAGGGCTTCACAGGAAACTGGCGCTTCACACATTCATTAATCTTTCAGGAGAATACACAGATACTCACTCTTCTTACCTCTCTATCCTTCTCAGTCATCTTTCTATCCCTCTTATCTCTGTCTCTCTCTACATTTCTCTCTGAGTCCCTCTATCTCTCTCCCTCTCAGTCTCTCTCTATCTCCCTCTCCATCCCTCTTCATCTCTGCCTCTTTAATCTTTCTCTCTCTCTACATTTCTCTCTGAGTCCCTCTATCTCTGTGAAAATTACATTTTTTGCAGCGAAAACCACAAAATAGTCATAATTGGTAGGTTAAAGCCCTTGAAAATTGTGGATTATGTGGTACGCATATTTATTTGCCATTGGGACTAAGAACGATAGTTGACTATAGAATTGTTCATTATACCCCATGAAAATCACAAATTTTTAATAAAGAAACCCTAGCTGCCATTAGGTTGAAAAACAGTGTTGTGAAAAACAGGTGCCATGTCAGACATGGTGGCCGGGTTCGATCTCAAACCACCACGACTTGGCACCTTCGATGACATATATTGTTTTGGGCTTCAAATTGGACGCAATTTCGGGTCTTAAATTGTGCTCGACGTCTCTCTCCCCCCCTCTCGATCTCGATCTTGATCTCTCGCGATTTCAAAACTAGGGCTTCACAGGAAACTGGCGCTTCACACATTCATTAATCTTTCAGGAGAATACACAGATACTCACTCTTCTTACCTCTCTATCCTTCTCAGTCATCTTTCTATCCCTCTTATCTCTGTCTCTCTCTACATTTCTCTCTGAGTCCCTCTATCTCTCTCCCTCTCAGTCTCTCTCTATCTCCCTCTCCATCCCTCTTCATCTCTGCCTCTTTAATCTTTCTCTCTCAGTCTCTCCCTCTCTCCATCTATCTCCCTCTCCATCTCAGCCTCTCTCTCCCCCTTTCTAGGTCTCATTTTTATTAATTTTTTGACTTCTGATAAATATTAGATATTAGTTAGATATTTGAGTTGGAAACTTGGAATATGTTAGATATTTGAGTTGAAATGTTGATTTGTTTTATACTATTAAATTGATACAGTAATAGGCTGAATTCTAATTGGTGGATTAGATATGCTTAAATTGATTATTGGTTGGAATGAGTAAATGTATAACCATTCACAATTCACGTCATATGTTATTTACTTTTTTATGTTTAGACTATAGAATTTATTAATTTAAGAATATTCTTAGATTGCATTTAAGAGATTATATTATATATATGCACCATCCGGTATGACATTCCAATATTTACTACACATCCCCTGACATTATTCTCGATTTCTGCTGTCCAGCATGGATTTTCGCCGTTCGACATGAATGTCGAACCCGACATCTGACATTTGAAACTTTTGTCAAAAGTATTGTGAGTTGATAAAAGTAGTAGGTTATAGCCAATGAAATTCACAAATTTTATAAATAGTGGGTAATAGCCTATGAAAATCGTGAACTTTGAAGATAATTGATTGTCATTGGGTCGAGACAAAGGAAAATCCAAGTAAATAGCGTAGGTTATAGCCCATGAAAATCGTGATTATTGAAATTTGCACAATTAATTGTTCTTGGGTTGAAACGAGCAAAATTAAACAAAAATCATGAACTATAGCCCATGAAAAGCACGAATTTCCTAGTATGCATACTAGTCATTGGGTCAAAGAATGAAAATTAACAAAAATCGTGGGTTAGCCAATGAAATTTGTGCTTTTCTATGAGGTAATTTTTTGAGAAAATTTTATGAAGTAAATTTAATTGCTCTTGGGTTGAAACTAACGAAAATAAACTAAATTGTGGGTTATATAACCCTTGAAAATCGTGAATTTTAGTATTTATTTGTCATTGGTTCACAGTTCGGTCCATTTTCTATGTTCTGGAGCGTAGATATATGGAAATCTACCAAGTTGCAAATATCTATTTAGACATTTGGAGATCAGAGCTTCACCGCAAAGTTTAAGGTTTCATTAACATTCATGGATGAGGATTTTTTGTAGAATTTGTTAGATGACATGAGAAAACAGAGTATACGAAGAGATTTATTGTAATATACTCTATTATAAATGACAAAAATATTTGAGTTGATATACTTATAAACAACCTATATTTGATATTTGGCTATTATATTTTTAAATTTATAGTTTTTAAGTCTCATTTTGGATTTAATAATATCACTTAAAAGCGGCATTGATAAAAAATTGGACCGAACTTGATGTCACTGCTTCCTTAAGTCCCTATGATCCAATTACTTTGTTATATCATATCGTTATATGTTCTTAGCATTTTTACCTTGTACCAATAAATCGATTAATTTCGTGTTGCGTAGAAAGAAATGGAAATAAAAAGATTATTTGCCTGTTCCTTTCTGATAGAAGTCTTAAAATTTGTTCTTGTGTGTTATTTGCGTAGATGCTTAACTATCTCACAGCCATTTCACTTAATATCTTTTATAGTATATACCTATTTGTAATAGATCTGGCGGTTTCTTTGTGTCATTGTATAAATTACTATTCACTGCAGCTTGTTCAAAGACCGTTATATAAATTCCTAATTTATGTTAAAGGAATTTGGTCCTTTTTTTTCTTTCTTTGTTGAAGTTCACACGTTTAGATGTTTTTTTGGATATTGAACTCAGTTTTAATTCTATGATCATGCAGATTCATTCTTGATAAGAAAATTGGCATTGGCCAACCTAAACGAATTGAGAATGCTAATATCTTGGTGGCAAACACAGCTATGGACACCGACAAAGTTAAGATATATGGTGCCCGAGTTCGTGTCGATTCAATGGCAAAGGTAGCACAGATTGAAGGAGCGGAGAAGGAGAAAATGAAAGAAAAAGTGCAGAAAATCATTGCTCATGGGATCAATTGCTTTGTTAATCGACAGTTAATATATAACTTCCCGGAGGAACTTTTTGCAGATGCAGGGATACTTGCCATTGAACATGCTGATTTTGATGGGATTGAGCGTCTCGCTCTAGTTACTGGTGGTGAAATTGCATCTACCTTTGATAACCCTGAGTCTGTTAAGCTCGGTCATTGCAAGCTTATTGAAGAAATCATGATTGGGGAAGACAAGTTGATCCATTTTTCTGGGGTTGAAATGGGTCAGGCATGTACCATAGTCCTAAGAGGTGCAAGGTATGCTTGCTTCTTAGACATCTAATTATTAACCTAAGCTTCTCGGTAGGATTCTATTATATGTTAGCATTCTGATGATAGTGTTACTTTTTAGTTCTTTTCGTTTATAAATCATATGCTTTTACATTTCAAGATGACCTTAGGCATTACTGTGTTTCTTTGTACTGGAAAATGACAAACTTCCCTTTTGGCCTAATGTCAGGTATCATTGATACCTAATCATTTAAAAGGTAACATGATTTAGCTCATGTATATTAATAACATGTAAGATAATAAGATTTCAAGTTACCTGGCACGATATACTTTCTTTTTTTGCTTGTTTGGATTTACGGCTATGACATCTGTGTTCCACAGTGAAAAGAGAAAAACAGAAAAGAAAATAATAATGGGAAAAAACTAGAACCCACTAAGAGACCTTTGATTTTATAAGATAAATAATAGAATTCAGAATTTTATTAGTAAAAAGATGCCGAATCCAATATCATTATGAACAGTGTTTTCGGCCTCTACACAGGTGAAAAATATAAGGAGTGAGTGAAAATGAAAGCTCTTTTGACTCCTGATCTAAATAGAATATTAAGTGGATCTTTTACAAGATGGAATCCTAAATAAATTCAAACTCTTAAGTAAATGAAATTGTAAATCTACGCAAACCATCCAATGTCAGTCTTCAATTGGAAAGAACTCGTCGAGTTTGGTTTGAATTAACTCTAAATCATAGAATAGAAGAGATAATTATGATGATGATGATGATTAGGAGTACATAGTTATTTCTTTGCCCCTATCAGACTGCAAACTTCAGTCTTAAAGATACTAGTTTTCACTTTTCTTTCCTGCTTGTCTTTTCTATTTTGTGAGATAGATTTACTCACAATTTTTTGTTTCCGGGCAGTCACCATGTTCTTGATGAAGCCGAAAGGTCCCTGCATGATGCTCTCTGTGTCCTCTCTCAGACAGTAAATGACACCCGAGTTTTACTCGGTGGTGGGTGGCCTGAGATGGTGATGGCAAAAGATGTGGATGAACTCGCTCGCAAGACTCCTGGAAAGAAGTCCCATGCTATTGAAGCTTTCTCTCGGGCACTACAAGCAATTCCTACTATCATTGCTGACAATGCTGGCTTGGACAGTGCTGAGTTAATCTCACAGCTTCGTGCTGAACATCACAAGGAGAACAGTAATGCAGGGGTCGATGTTATAACTGGCAGTGTAAGTATAACAAACTCATCTTGTTTGTTTTTCGGGCAAGTTTTACAAAGATATGGTGAACTTTGGGGTATTTTGCATTAGGAAAAAGGACTACCATAATAGATAATATTACTGTGGCTAATGTCAGGGTATTTTGCAAAAGGAAAAAAACTGACATAAAATTGTTTTATTAGCGAATATTACTGGGGCTAATGTCAGTATTTTGTCTTGTGCATTTTCTTGGACAACATTATGTACCTCGTATATCTTTTACATTACCCTTGTGAACTTTTAGATAGATTGATAGAAACAATGGTATTACCAGAGATGTTAATCACGTTAGCAATAATTTCCAGTATTCCATGATACTTTTCTTCAGTTTTGGAAGTTCACCGTAAACTTTTCTAATGAAAAAGTTTTATGGTTGTTTTGTTCCGGAACTCCCAGAAGCTGATGGCAGTTTTGTTTTGTCTTTCACGCGTTTAGTTCAAAAATCTTATAAACCTTGTCTGTTACAACACAGGTAGGAGATATGGAGAAGCTCGGCATCTCAGAATCTTTCAAGGTTAAGCAAGCCGTACTATTATCAGCTACTGAGGCTGCTGAAATGATACTAAGGGTTGATGAGATTATAACCTGTGCACCGAGGAAGAGGGAGGAGAGAATGGGACACTAGTTAGTTGAGATATAGTTCTCTAGCTAAGATTTTGGCACGCATGAGTCTAGTCTGTACTTTTGATCGGTTGAAAAATTAATTCCGTCGGATATCGAAACCTTAACATGGTGGTGGTCAAGTGTGGCTTTTGTTTTAGTTTATTTTTTGGGGGGGGTTTGTTTTTATGTTAACTCCTATACTTCTGTAACAATCTTGTGTTGTCTTGTTAATGCTATATTTAAGCTGTTTATGCCAATTTGGAACTTAAGACTGCTCTCGGGCTGAACAAAATTTTTCAGGGGATTTGGAGTTTGAAATGCAGCGGTTAGTCGAGTGAGAGACCCTATTGTCTGGAGTTACGGATTTGGTGAAAATTTTGGGTTAATTGAATCGTCGCATTGGGATGTTGAATTTGAATGCTCCGATGTGAAAATTTACCGAAGTTCTAATTAAGCAAATGAGTTGAATTCGAAACTTATTTTGCGTTTGGATATGAATTGAATTCTGAATTGGAAATTGAGTAATAAAGTACTCAATTCCGTTTTGTTCCAAACCCTAGTGGTAACCCACAATTTTTATTAATATTTATTTGTTTCAACTGAATGACAAATAATTATGCACACTTTAAAATGCAAGACTTTTATGGGTTATTGCTCGAGATTTTTGCAATTTGTAATTTTCATTGAATATTATTCTAGAGTTTTGCAATTTTATAACATCCATGATTTTCACAATTTACGATTTTTCTTTGCTAATTTGTGATTTTTTTTTCGTTTGTCTCGACTTATTTGCTTCTTCAAAATCATGATTTTTGTGTGCTGTAGCCCTTGATTTTTTTATAATTTTTATTTTATTTTTTGACCCAATGGAAAATAAATATCCCAACTTCAAAACAAATGATCTTCATGGGCTATAGTCTATCATTTTTGTCCATTTTGCTTGTTTCGTCCATTTAAGAAGTAATTGTGCAAACTAAATAGTTGCAATTTGCATTAGCTATAGCCCTTGATTGGTGTGCATTATTGTTCATTCGATCTAATGACAATTATTCATGAGTAGTTCAAAATTAAATATTTTGATGTGCTTAAAACTCACGATTTAGGCAATTTTTGTTTGTATTATCCCAATCAAAAGTGGTTATATGTATTTATAACGTGATTTTCATGAGATATATCCATCATTTTAGTCTATGTTTGTTAGTTTTGATGCAATAACAATTAATTTTTTTTTATTAAAATTTGTGGTTGTAATGGGCTTTAAACCATGATTTTTTTAAAACAGTTTTCATTCTTTGATCTAATGGAAAATAAATATGCATGCTTAAAAATTCATGATTATTATTGGCCCACAATTTTGTCATTTTTTCGTTTAGACTATTTAGCAATTAATTAAGTGAAGTTCAATATTCATGATTTTTATGGGCTATAATACATCGTTTTTATCCATAATTGTTCATCGACCCCATGACAATTACTTGTGACTGCTTTAGAATTTGAGTTTTTGATGGATCATGGATTATATAATTCATGATTTTTTTTATTTTTTTGCTTCTTTAGGCTGAATGAAAAATAATTTTGAAGACTTTAAAATTCACAATTTCATGCACTATAACCTATGATTTTTCTTTATTTTTTTCGTTCCAACCAAATAGAAAATAATTATGCACAGTGCAAAATTCGTCATATTGACCAAATAGTAAATATTTATAAAACTTTTCAATATTCATGATTTATCCTTGATTTGTGTGCATTATTGTTCATTCGATCTAATGGCAATTTATGAGTAGTTCAAAATGCAAGATTTTGATGTGCTTATAATTCACGATTTAGGCAATTTTTGTTTGTATTATCCCAATCGAAAGTAATTATACGTATTTTATAAAGCGATTTTCATGAGATATATCCACGATTTTAGTCTATGTTTGTTAGTTTCGATGCAATAACAATTAAATTTTCTTTTATTAAAATTTGTGGTTGTAATGGGCTTTAACCCATGATTTTTTTAAAACAATTTTTATTCTTTGATCTAATGGAAAATAAATATACATACTTAAAAATTCATATTTTTATTGGCCCACAATTTTTTTCATTTAGAGTATTTAGCAATTAATTCAGCGAACTTGAGTATTCATGATTTTTATGGGCTATAATCCACAATATTTGTCCATAATTGTTCATCGACCCCATGCCAATTAATTATGACTACTTTAAAATATGAGTGTTTGATGGATTGTATAATCCATGATTTTTTTTCATTTTTTTGCTTATTTAGGCTAAATGAAAAATAATTTTGAAGATTTTAAAATTCACGATTTCATGAGATATAGCCCATGATTTTTCTCTATTTTTACTCATTTCGAATGAATGAGAATTTTTTTGTGGAGGCAAAAATCCACCACTTCTTGATTTATAACCAACTAATTTAGCTATTTTTATTCATTTCTATCCATTGGAAAATAATTCCGCAAAGGCCAAAATTCACGATTTCATGAGCTGTAACCCACGATTTTTAGCCATTTTTAATCGTTTTAATCCATCAGTAAGTAATTTTGCGGCATCCAAACCTCACGATTTTGTGAGTTATAGCTCATGATTTTGATAAGTTTTATTCATTTCGTCCCATTGGTAAATAATTTTGCAGATACTAAACTCTACTATATCGAATGATTTTAGCCATTTTTAGTCATTTCGACTCTTTGGTAAATTATTTTGCTGAGGATAAAGTTCATTATTTCATTCAGCAATAACCCACAATTTTGGTATTTTCACTCATTTTGACCCATTTCCAAATGATTTCATGACGATAAATTACAAGATTTAATTAGCTATAGCCCATAATTTTTGGCCATTTTTTGTCATTTCAACCTATTGTCGAATAATTTTTGCATGCCAAAATGAAAGATTTCATGTGATGTACCAACTATTTTGACCATTTTTAGTAATTTTAACCTGTTTGCGCGGCAGTTAAAATCACGATTTCTTGAGATATAAACCACGATTTTGGACAATTTTTAGTCGTTTTGACTCGTTGTCAAATAATTTAGAGATGGATAAAATTTATGATTTTGCGAGCTATAATCCATAATTTTTTGGCCATTTTTAGTCATTTCGATCCACTATCAAATAATGTTGCAGTTGCCAAATTCATGATCTCGGTGCTATAACCTGCAAGACCAAAATTCATAATTTCATGAGCTGTAACCATAAAATTTCACCAATTTTATTCATTTCGTCCCATTAACAAATAATTTCAGAGAGTGCAAAACTCACATTTTCCTAAGTTATAATCCATGATTTTTGACTATTTTAGTCATTTTGACCCATTGAAAAATAATTGTGACGATCAAAATTCACATTTTCATTAGATATAACCCATAATTTTTGTCCATTTTCATTTATTTCGAACCAAAGGAAAAAAATTGCCAAGGCAAAAATTCACCATTTTTTTATCTATAACCCATGATATTTGGCCATTTAATCCAATTTCAATTCATTTGCAAATAATTTCATAGAGTTCAAGTTCACAATTTTGTGGAGGCTAGAGTTCACGATCTCATAAGCTATAATCCATGATTTTGGCCATTTTTAGGTATTTCGATCTGTTCCCAAATAATTTCGAGGAGGCTGAAATTCACAATTTTTTTATGAGCTTTAATCCACGAGTTTTTTGTGAATTTTAGTAATTTCGACCCAATGGGTAATAATTTCATGGATTCCAAAATTTATAATAATTTCAAGCTTTCATAAACTATAATCTACAATTTGTTTTCATTTTGACCAAATGGCAAATAATTATGCAACATGCAAAAAATTATGATTTTAGGAGCTAATTCATGATTTTTGTCCATTTATTTGTTTTGACCAAATCGGAAATAATTAAACGGACTTTAAATTTCACGATTTTCACAAGCTAGAATGCATGAATTTTTGTTCATTTTTTTCATGTCGACCAAATAATAAGTAATTATGCAGAGTTTGAAATTCACAAAGTTATGAGCTATAATACACAAATTTTCTCATTTTTCCCCCAATTCTACAAAATAAGAAATAATTAAACGGAGTAAAAATTCCTTATTTTCAAGAGTTGTAGCTATGAGTTTCGTTCTATTTCGTCCATTTTAACCAAATAGCAAATAATTATCGAGAGTTTAAAATTCACAATATCATGAGTTATAATCCATCACTTTTTTTTTGAAGGAAAAGCAGCAGGTGGGAGTTACAGGTTGTTTTTTTGGGTTGAGAACGTGGGTGATGGAAAAGAAGCAGGTGGGAGTTACAGGTTGGTTTTTTTGAATTGAGAATGTGCGTTGATTGTGGGAGTTACTGTTTGGTTATTGGAGAGAGAAGGTTGTGTGAACCGTTGGTTGGATAGTAGAGAGTATGAATGAAGATAATTTTGAAATTTTAAATTGGTTACTGTTCATTTTAGCTTTTTTGTCCTTCTCCTTTAGTAGTAATAAAGAAGTAGATTCTTTGTCCATAGTCATTCATTCGATCAAACGGCAATTAGTGATGATTACTTCAAAATTCAAGATTTTGATAGGTTATAACCTACGATTTTTGCAAATTAATTATGCATATTTTAAAATTTATGATTTTCATAAGTTATAACTAATTTTGCTTTTGTCAATATTCATTTGTTTCGATCCAAGGCAAATAATAATGTGTACTTCAAAATTTTGGGTATTAGCCATGATTTCACAATTTGTTAATTTTCGATCGTTTCTAGACAAGAACAAGTCCTCTCTCTTTTAATACTGCGACTTTTAATAGCTACAATTTTTTGTCTGCTTTCATTGTTCAACCCAATGGAAAATAATACTGCGACTTTTAATAGCTACAATTTTTTGTCTGCTTTCATTGTTCAACCCAATGGAAAATAAATGTGCTTAGTTCAAAATTCGTGATTCCATCGGCTTAGTCCATTCCTTCCCTCCATGTTTTTCCTAACATGTTGGAAATTTATACTTCATCCATAGGGAAAAGATGTTTCATGATCTGATAAATCAAGAATGCGATAAAAATAACAGCTGCATAAAATTCTCCCGCTTTTGTTCGCTGCTTCTCTTCATTCTATCCTTCGATTGTACGCAAAGAACGCCTTGCTGCTATGTTAATCCTATCGCCAGAGTGATACATGTTTATATCTATTGATATTGATATCAGCACAACCAGAATTTCTCAGAACACGTGCACATGAAAGCGCACAGCATATTAGCATTTCCATGGTCAACAAAAAATGCACAAGCCACATTAGGTACAAATGCAAAACAAAACCAAGATGAACAAAAACAAACCGCAAACAGTACACAAAGCCGATTCAACAGCAGCAATCCAAACATTGTGCGACACACCGAATGAACCCAAAGGCAGAATTAAGCATAAACCTCAAATATGCGGGACTTGCACGTCCAGCAACAGCTCGCATGCACGAAACATGTGGCTAACAAAAACCAGCATCCACTACAAACCCATTTATTTATTCATGTACCAGGTAGGTAAATTCAAATATGGTTCATAATACAAGACAATCATAAAAGGTACTCATTTGTGATTTCTGCCGAAACAAAAGAGCTGCAGATGTTCCATAAACTGTAACAAGTAGCGGACATCATATAGTATACATAGCATAGTAAAATAGAGGCCTATGATGCTTAAAGCAAAGACGCTACTGCATCAAATATCATGGTGATAAACCAAGCAACGATCATGTAGAGCATCAGGTGGCTGACGGTAGTCTATAATCTTCTATAACGTATCACCCAGCTGGCCAATCAATATGGTTAAAATCCTGCATTGAGAATCTCATCTTTTATCCTGAATAAAGAAAAGAGATGGTCTTTAAAAATTAAAGAACTGTGAACACAACGGAATAGAAAACTACAGAAAGCCAGCCCTCTGTAGCATGTCCCACTATCAATAGTCAGTCAGTGAAATCAACAAATACCGGTGCAGTTAATAGAAAATTAACGCAATAAGACCAGTATAGGGTTAATCGCAGATAAGACTCATGTAACATCACCCAAATGCAGATAAACCCGCTATAGTTTCTATTGTTGCAGAGAGACCCCTGAGTGAACTTTTTGGACTCCTTATCCTCAAGTATGAGAAAATTACCCTTCTCAACTCAGACCTGAAGGTAAAAGAGTCAAAAGGTTTCACTCAGTGGTCCATCCGTGACTGGACAAGAGTATGGAGTCCTGCAACATCAAAACTACTGGAGATCTATCTGCAATTAACACGAGATTATTATCAATGCAATCATCAAGTTTAAAAATGTGTGTGGACATGTGTCTACTAAATGATCTTCTATATAGAATTCTCTACGGATACCCCCACTAAATGATCTTCTATATAGAATTCTCTAATTCTCTNGCCCCCCCCCCCCCCCCCCACACACACACACACACACAAAAAAAACCAAACAAAAAAAAAACCCAAAAAAACATAATGCGACTTAATAAGACAGAAGCAAAATACTAACCCTTCATTTTTCTTGGAGAGCACAGGCTGCTTCTGTGAAGCGGGTCCGGGCGCAATCGGGGCCAGCTCCGTCTTGCACCGGACTCCCTCCAGTGACTGGTTGATTGATTGCTAATCAGAGTCATCATACACTTCTTCGTCTGAGAGCTCGTCAAAAGACCTTATATCAAGCTGGTAGCGAAGTATACCACCAATGCCACCAAAACCTCGGCAAAACTGAGATCCCTCTTGAGATTTGTTGGTGACAAACTCGAGGGTGCAACCAAAACGCTTGTACTCATTGGCAAACCACTCCAACAATGGCAGTTTCTCTTGCACTTCAAGCTCTGCGTTAGTTGCAGGCTCTCTGAAGTTGCTCTGAACTGCTTCTTGTTCCTTGTTAAGATGCTTTATAATGACCTCCCCGCTAACAGAGTTCTTCAGTGTGTATCTGTTAATATCCAGATTTTCCCAAACGATTAAGGTTTCAACAGCACCCATCTCGAGAGCTTTTAGTGTGTCATCCACACCAAAGACATATTTTCCAGTGTCTTGACTAATCTCCTCAAAGTATTTCCCTATCAACTTCTTCTCCTGAATAAACTTGACATTTGATAAAATTTCTGCTGACAGCTCAATAGCCTGATTGAAACCATTCTCCCCTCCATATGAAACATCAACGACATTGAGAATCTTAGCCTGAAGCCGGGGATCAAACATGTCAGACTGGCTCAGCTCTGTTTTAAAATCAGCAGAACCAGCTAAGATAAGCCCAGAAACATTAGGCTGACTTGTTGCAGGATTAATGTAGAATTGTGTTGCCAGTTCAGCGGTTTTCCTAACATAGTTGTGCCGTTTTTCCATCCGAAGACGAGCAAATCGAAGTGCCGACTGCCCTCCTCTTCCATGCTTCTTCGGGAGATCAACACTGAACTTGTGAAGTATCTCACGAGTGTTACCGCTCAAAGTGCCAAAAAGGGTTCCATTTCCATCCATCACTATGAAACCAAATTTGTCATCAGATTCCAGAAGTTCATTCAATGCCTCTGTATGGAACTTGTTATCACAAAGGTAGAGTGATGCATTGATGGGTTTGAATGGCTCAAAATCTATAGTAACCTTCTTTTCCTTCCCATCGTCAGTAACAATGGTTCCAGTGTACAAAACTAGTCCATTGGGAGGGACCCTGCTGTAGAGCTTCAACCTCTGTTGAGCAGAAGTGATAGCTCCCAATACAGATTGTCGGTTGACCCTACTCTTGATATTTGATGCAGTTCCATATTCATCACCCAGCATCTTAGCCACTCGAGATACCTGATCACGAGGTGGCATAATCAGAGAAATCATGCTTGTGCCATTGCCTCTGGCGGCCTCCAAAGCTTTGATGAGCTTCTTTATCTTCCATATCTCAATGTTCCTATCAGTTTCGTGAGCATCAGCCATCTTCTTAAAGACTGTCACACACGGAAAAGGAAGATCTACCTGAAAAAAAAACAAGTGACAGTTAGGTATGTTTCTGCTAAGTAATTACATAAATATCATTTAAGGGCATAAAAGAAGAAAACATCATAATAAAATTCAGAGCATATCACACCATCAAAACCACATAATCAATTATGCACTGTAACAGTTCAACCTATTACAACACACTTTATCTTCTACATTCCATATTCCATATGCAACTGTACAGATCTAAGGTAGAAACCATGCATATAACGACTTTGTAGATACAACTACGCTGAGTAGAAAAGAGTATACTTATATGCTTCTAATTAATTATCTTTTCAGAACTCTAGAAACCAACATGAAGTTGTTATTTAGGAGAGAGATATGCTTAACATTCAGGTTTTATGTCGTGTCATGCACACTCTTCACACATGCAATGAAAAAATAAAAAACAGCTTGCCCTTTTGCTTCATTGGTAATTACAAGCTCATTAAGGCTGGACATGTATATAACTTATAAAGTTCCCTTTCTCAAAGCTAATACCAGAAAAATTTTAAAATTAAAAAAATTAAAAACATGCTTAAATCAAAGAAACTATATCAGCAAAGATGCAGTGGTTTATAGTATCAATGCATCAAACATGTAGCTAAGTTACTTGAAGTGGCATCTAACAAGCAGAACACCTATTGGGAATAAACAATTGCCAAAGTGAAAACAAAACAGGGGTGAAAACAACATATGACAAACACTGCAACAATCTCCTGCCAAACAGGCCTAACTTTTACCGTTTAATTAAATTCACACGAACCTACTTAAGTATTAATGATTTATTATGAAAAAAAACAAATTGCATACAAGAAATAGGATAGTCAAACTGATGACAAGAGGTACATCTAAACTGAACCTAAAGTTTAAAAAGCAATTAGAGCCTGTGATTCAAAGAAAATTGAATATATATCTATTAACAACTTCTAAAACTTACAGGCTACCACTTACAGGCTACCACTTGTGGAATAAGCTTCCTGGTGAAATTAGGACCCTTGTCCAACATGACATGAATGTCCATCCACTTTGGATACTTAAAAATAGCGTGTCTAACTCACTCTAAAAAACATGTCTGATTCATTAAATTGTTTCATCAGACAGTCACACTTTAATCTTATTTTGGACATAACACCGTCTCAAAGAAATAATTGAAGACGTGATATACTGGTCAAGAAGAACATAAGCATAGCCATGGCACGTTCAAATTATTTAGAAATTCTAGTGATTGTTGTGCTAATAGAATTACTTAAGATTATCTTAGTCTATTGACATGTTCAAATCAATCAGTTACTGCAAGGGACAGATCCAGGATTTTTTTCTATGGGGGCAATATACAATTATAAATATGTATTAGTAAAATAAATTAATATAAATTCTATTAACAGAAAAATTTATTCATATAATAATCATAAAGATCTCATAACATGGTACATGTCATTATCACTTTCAAGTCAATACATTGCTCATTTTCATTTTAATCACAAAAACTAACAAATTACTCCTAAGTTTCAACAACAATCTTTCATAAGTGCTCTCAATTTGGGGGCACAAACAAATTTTTATGGGATATGAAAATAGTAGATAATTTCCAATGTTTTTTGATTTTTTTTGTGGGGGCAAGTGCCCCCACACTCCACTGTGTAGATCCGTCCTTAGTTACTACTAAATTGCCAATTTAAATCATAGAAAGCCAACAAGGAAGCATGCAAACTTCTCCGGCAAAACTAAGTACTTATGTTAATATGCAATATCTACAGAATCTAAAATGCTGGCTCATAATTTGAATTTGCTTTGATCCAGCTATAAGTACTTTGTGTTCATTAAAATTACGAAAATCTGAATTAAGGGGGAGGGGGGAAGATAGACTATTTGTTTGTACATCATGCTGCTTTAAAAGTTAGAATAAGCAGTTGCAAGTTCATGCGTATTTATAGATCTTGTAGACTAAGTTCTATAAGATTATAGGTATATGTTATTGAATGTCCACAATACTACGCACACCGTTTTAAACAATAAAAGATGTAACCGAAAAAATCATATCAGGGTTTTATTGATGATTGTAGCAATGGAAGAATACAAGAATATCACACATAATTGACCTTACCATGCTCTCCATTTTCAACAATTAAACAATAAGCATCAACATATAGGAACCACAACACTGCTAAAAAATCTTTTGTTTTTACTGCTTCCTTCTAAAAAAATTTAACATCTACAACTATTATGGTGTTTTCAATCGCCTAAGTGCAACCATCTGCTAAGAACGGATATGTGTACTTCTGCATGCAATGCCCCAATCTAAATTGGTGACCGAAGACAAACAAGGGTTACAACTCAGCTAACTCGTCGAGTCGACATTTCCTCATGTCAACTCGAAAGGCGGAACTTATCACCCCTTTTGTCGAAAACAACTCACAATGAGCCCACTCGACCAATTACTCAACACCTCACAATGTCGACTCGAAAGACGTTACTTCTCGACGAAACTAGAAGACAACTTCAGCCTCGAGCCTCTCCCACTGACCAACGTATCAGCGTCGTATTTAATGCTTGGCAGGCTCCATCATGCCTCTAGCTTCGATAGTCTTCATGACTCATCGGACTACATAGACACCACCATGCTTCCAATCACTTTCTAATTAATGTTGAGGTGATCTCTCATCCAGCCGCCAGCCGACATCTGTAAAACAAGAGCCAACTCAGTCGCCAACTCATGCTTCTTCACCGCCATTCTGTGCTCGTTCACAATAACAGTTCTGTCCCTTCGACACCAGTATAAATAGAGGTACTATTCTAACATTAAGAGAATTCGAATTCTGATTCTGATTTTTTCTACAAAATATGTCTCCTGCAAAATATGCTACACACACAAGAACTCCCAGAGTTCTTCATTTCCCAACTCAAGCTCACCGGCTGACTTGATCGTCGAATGAACCACGGGGAACCAGTCCCCGTTCTCTCATGTGTTTCTATATGTGCAGACTTTTTAACCACCCAACTCAGAATCGAATATTCAGGGAAGGAAACGGCCTCTCATCAATCTTCATCCCCATCCAAATTGACTGTGTGATCACTTAACATCAACAACCACCCTATCTAATCTCCAAAAAAAGTATCCTCTTTACGCTTAAGATATGAGAATTACACATAATCCTCAAGTCATATCTCGAAGAACTCATCCAAATATTTCCTCTCATAACAAAACTGACCATCATCATAAAAAAACAATCGCAAAACTAAATCTAAAGGAGCGAATCTAGGGTTTTCATACAGAAAACACAAATGAAACAAATAAATCAACAAATAACAAGCCATCAATCGCACCGATCCGCAACAAAATCATGAGATCGGCATCCAAACCTAGTAATTCCTTGAGAGAGAAAGGAAGGGGGCAATCTAGGGTTTTCTCTACTGCAAACACGAACCGTACAAACTCTTAATCTCATCGATCCGCAACAAGATCATGAAATCAAACACCGAAACCCTAGAATTTTCTAGAGAGAGAAAAGTGGGGGCGTTTCGAACCTGAGAGCAGCAGCGTCCGAGGCGGTGGTGGTGGTGGCTCCCCGAGGAGGGGGAGGGTCTCTGTATTTATAGGGATGCGTTTCTCCGCGTTAAGGGAAGCCGTGATGGATTTTAGGATCGTTTTGGACCGTTGAAAGTTTTAGATCGGACGGCTGAAACGATTTGGGAGCTCTTGGTCGTTTTTAATTTGGTAGGAATACCTAGGGATTGGGTTTGGCGCACGAGGTTAAAACTGTAATTGATTATTGAGCGTTTGTCTCTTTATGTTACTTGGAGCACAAGCATTTTTTTAATTAATTGCAAGGAATATTTCGCAATTGTTTAATTAGATTTTATTACTATCTACAAGCGAATGCAAGCTCAAGATTTAGTATGACTTTATTTTTTTTCGGTGATTAGATTTAAAATGCTCGGAGCATAGGGCTGAGCATGGTTCGGTCCAAACCGAAAAAACCGATCGAACCGAACCGAACCGACCCGAAAAAATCAGTTTTATGAGTAGGGCGGTTCGGGTCGGTTTGAAAACTTTTCAACCCGAACCGACCCGAACCGACCGAATATAGTGCAATACTACCCATTCTGATCTCAAACACTACCCGATCCGTCCCCAAAGAGTCAAAGACCCAAACTCTAAACTCATTTTCTGGATCATTATGGGTTAAAAATAATATCATTATATCAGTGTTTAATGCTTCATAATCTCCTACTTTGTTGATATTTTTTCTTTAACACATTTTGTTGTTTGATAAGAAGTTTGATAAAGTTAGAACCGAACAAACCGAACAGAACCGCACCGAACCGACTTGCAACAGTTAGGTTCGGTTTTGTATTATAGGCGGTTCGGTACGGTTGTTCAAATTTTGGTAAAAACCGAACCGAACCGACCGTTGCACACCCCTATCGGAGCATAAGAATTTTGGGAAAAATGTGTCCATGCCTCAAAAACAGAAACTTCATGTGCTGCAGCCCCTCTTAGTTTTCCCCATGTGATTCAGCCCCTTGAAATGTGACACTTTGTACTGCAACCCTTTTTTAGCAATTATTACATGCCAGCTAAAGCTAAAATCCCCAAAATAACCTTATCACATCTCTTCAATCCCTCAAACCCAGCTCTCTCATCTCCCTATGTTAGTTTTAGCTAGTTGAGCAAGTTAGAACTAACAATATTCGAAGCGATATAACGAGAGATAGAAAATGAGCCCACGTGAAAGGAAGATACCGTGTGATAAGACAATATAAATGGCTACACACCGGCGACGACGGTGGTGAAAACGGAGACCGGAGGTGACCGGAAAACACGCGCGAAGTCGGCACGGCACTGCTATTTTCTGCTCGCTGTTGCCGTCGAGCGATGTTTCGGACGTTACCGAGAGAGATAAGACAATATAAAGGGCTACACACCAGCGATGACGGTGGTGAAAACGGAGACCGGAGGTGACCGAAAAACGCGCGCGAAGTCGGCACGGCGCTGCTATTTTCTGCTCGCTGTTGCCGTCGAACGATGTTTCGGACGTTACCGAGAGAGATAGAGACTGAGTTAGAGTGTAATACAAATTGGAGGTGATAGGCAACATGTAGGGCTAGTCAACAAAGAAGAAATCGGCGGAAACGGAGATTAGAGGTGATCGGAAAGTGCGTGCGAAGTCGGCACAAAACTGTAGTTTTCTGCGGTGTAATTTCTCGCCGTTCGGGTTTGTTCTTTGCTGTTCGGAGCTTTTCGCCGCTGTCCGGGCTTGCCGGAGGTGGGAGGAGGTTGTCGGTATCGTCGGGGTGTCTCAGTGGGCTCCGCCGGATGTGGGAGGAGCTTTTTCTCAAGTTAGTTTTAGGCTCTTGGGCTCTCAAGTTAGTTGTAATTTGCCCCATGTTAGTTCTAACACGCCCCATGTTAGTTCTAGCACGCCCCATGTTTGTTCTAGCTAGTTCTAGCTCTAATTCATTTTAGTTCTAGGCTATTGGGCTCTCAAGTTAGTTCTAACTTGCCCCATGTTAGTTCTAATTTGCCTCATGTTAGTTCTAATTCGCCTCATGTTAGTTCTAACATGTCCCATGTTAGTTCTAACTTGCCCCATGTTAGTTCTAACTTTCACTATGTTAGTTCTAACCCGTTCCATGTTAGTTCTAGCCTGTCCCATGTTAGTTCTAGCCTGTCCCATGTTAGTTCAAGCTAGTTGGGCAAGTTAGAACTAACAATATTCGAAGCGATATAACGAGAGATAGAAAATGAACCCAAGTGAAATGAAGATACCGTGTGATAGACAATATAAAGGGCTACACACCGGTGAAGACGGCGGTGAAAACGGAGACCGGAGGTGGCCGGAAAACGTGCGCGAAGTCGGCACGGCGCTGCTATTTTCTGCTCGCTGCTGCCGTCGAGCGATGTTTCGGACGTTACCGAGAGAGATAGAGACTGAGTTAGAGCGTGATACAAATTGGAGATGATAGGCAACATGTAGGGCTAGTCAACAAAGAAGAAATCGGCGAAAACGGAGATTGAGGGTGATCGGAAAGTGGGTGCGAAGTTGGCACAAACTGCAGTTTTTTGCAGTACAATTTCTCGCCGTTCGGGTTTGTTCTTTACTGTTTGGAGCTTTTCGCCGCTGTCCGGGCTTGCCGGAGGTGGGAGGAGGTTGTCGGGGTCGTCGGGGTGTCTCGGTGGGCTCCGCCGGATGTGAGAGGAGCATTTTCTCAAGTTAGTTCTAGGCTCTTGGGCTCTCAAGTTAGTTCTAATTTGCCTCATGTTAGTTCTAGCACGTTCCATGTTAATTCTAGCTAGTTCTAGCTCTAATTCATCTTAGCTCTAGGCTCTTGAGCTCTCAAGTTAGTTCTAACTTGCCCCATGTTAGTTCTAATTTGCCTCATGTTAGTTCTAATTCGCCCCATGTTAGTTCTAGCCCGCCCCATGTTAGTTTTAACTTGCCCCATGTTAGTTCTAATTTTCCCCATGTTAGTTCTAACCCGTCTCATGATAGTTCTAGCCCGTCCAATGTTAGTTCTAGCTAGTTGGGCAAGTTAGAACTAACAATATTCGAACCGATATAACGAGAGATAGAAAATGAGCCCAAGTGAAAGTAAGATACCGTGTGATAGACAATATAAAGGGCTACACACAGACGAAGACGGTGGTGAAAACGGAGACCGGAGGTGGCCGAAAAACGCGCGCGAAGTCGGCACGGCGCTGCAGTTTTGTGCTGACTTCGCACGCACTTTCCGATCACCTCCAATCTTCGTTTCCGCCGATTTTTTCTTTGGTGACTAGCCCTACATGTTGCCTATCACCTCCAATTTGTATCACGTTCTAACTCAGTCTCTATCTCTCTCGGTAACGTCCGAAACATCGCTCGATGGCAGCAGCGAGCAGAAAATAGCAGCACCGTGTCGACTTCGCGCGCGTTTTCCGGCCACCTCCGGTCTCCGTTTTCACCACCGTTTTCGCCGGTGTGTAGCCCTTTATATTGTCTATCACACGGTATCTTCCTTTCACTTAGGCTTATTTTTTACCTCTCGTTATATCACTTCGAATATTGTTAGTTCTAACTTGTCCCCAACTAGCTAGAACTAACATAGGGAGATGATAGAGCTGGGTTTGAGGGATTGAAGAGATGTGATAAGGTTATTTTGGGGATTTTAGCTTAGCTGGCATGTAATAATTGCTAAAAAGAGACTGCGGTATAAAGTATCACACTTCAATGGGCTGAATCACATGGGGAAAACTAAGCAGGGCTGCAGCATATGAAGTTTCTGTTTTTGGGGCCTGGACATATTTTTCCCAAGAAATTTTTATTGAATGATAATTTTGGGCTCCAAAAATATTTAGACCTGGAAACATACACATGCACACGTAAGTAAAAATAATAAAAGGAGTAAATTACAATAAGACCTCGTAAATTTCAGGTGTTTTGCGGCAAACCCTATCAATTTTCAAAATCACACTAACCCCAATAACTTTTGCAGAAGCCACCGTAAACTTTCAACATGTTGTTTTATGTTGTTTTCTAGTTCCAATTTATGGGGTTATCTACAAAATGCAAAAACTAATTAGAGATTTTCTGCAAAATAGAAAAATTGTTAGGATTTATTATGATTTTGAAAGTTTCTAGGGATTACTGCAAACTGCTGAAAGTTCACGAGGGTTTACTATAATTTATCCATAAAAATACTATGATATGTTTAGATCTAGATAGACATACATTTATGTCAAGGCGAAGTGAGATCAATAAACAATTACAGATTGATCTACTAGGCTTATTTTCTGCAGCGGCCCGACGCACAACCTCGTGAGGCCCAAACCCGGCCCATATAGGGCCCGACGCACAACCTCGTGAGGTTTTTTTTGACTCTTTGAATAGGTTGAAAGTCGACGGGTTTTGATTCTTTTACAGAGAGAGAGGGGGAAATGGGGGAGGAGAATGAGAAATCAAACAATCTTGATTATGCGCTAAAGCCTTTTTATGATAGGGCTTATGATGCTGAGGTATACTACCCAATTTCAACTTCATTTCTTTTTTTTTCTTTTTTTTCCAATTTAATTTCGTATACTTTACTTGTTTAAGAGAAGTTACCGAGTAAATTTGTCCAATTTGATTGTTGGCGGGTTCTAATATAGAAAAGATGCTGATTTTATTCATGGGTTTCGTATTTTTTTGTGAAATGGCATCTATCTTCAGTTGATTGCCAAGGGGGCTTTAAACCTTGTGAAAATTAATTATCTTTTGAACTACCTCACTGTTATTTGAACGCATAATGAAGTGGATAAGTAGAAAAAGGAACCCTCAAAATGTATTTACTTGTATTGCTTTGTAGATTTTGAAAGTTATAAAAGCTGCAAGTTTTTCATTGAGAAGCTATTCCTTGAGATGATTGCCATACTGAAAGTCGAATAAAATATCTTTCAAGTTCATAACTATTTGATTACCGAATTTCATGATTTATAAGGTAGAAGCGCATGCTAACATGACTTACTTGATTAACTAAAGCACGGCAGGCTTTATTTGGTCAAATTGCTTTCTATTAGTAGTTACCTTGAGAAATTAGATCTGCATATTGGCTCTATTTATTTGTTCTGTAATATTGATAATGTATAAAAGAATGCCTCACTCGAACGTTTCTATGAGCATGTCAAAAATATTTCTGAAGGATCCAACATTGTCCAACTCAGCGCAGCGGTAAACTAGTGGGTTTGGGTTGTGGGATTTCCTAGGTATGGCATTTGTTCTAAAGGAAAATGTTGCATGGAGCAAATCTGCTATTTGAAAATTTGTCGTTGAAGCCTTTGTTTATAATGTTTGTAGAGGTATTGTCTTGCTTTAGCTTCACCCTGACTTGCTCTTTATTGTGAATGAAGGTTCGTTTGTCAAAGTTGGAGTCTCTACTTTCAAAAGATGGTAGGTTCTCAGATTCAACTCAGTATATTTCCTTTGACATGAGGTAATCGTCATTAATTATTATGTTTTCTCCTTTTTTCCCCCAGGTTATGCAAACACTGATAACAAAAAAGAGTCATCCATGATAAAAGATTTGGAGTCTAAACTGTATAGTGTTCAAGATGAACTTGTGTCTGAGAAGGAGAAGGTTAGTCTCTGTGAAAGATCGTGTGTCCCCATTTGCCAATTATATTAAAAGCTTTAATGCCATTCAACTCTATGTTGGCTTGATATTGCATTGTTAGCCCGCGATATATGAGCTTAAACCTTTGGTAGAAGGGTAGAAGCTGCAAGGGTTTAACTTTTAGAGCTGCTTAATATTCATTATAGCCCCTACAATACGAGCTTAATCTTTTGGGTTTTATTGTTTCATTACATATCATTGTAGGCATCAACAGAGATCAAGAAGCTTGAAGCAGAAAACAAGAAACTTCAGTATCGGGTGACTCATCTTATTCAAGCCCTAAAGGAGGCAGACTTGAAGTTTAAAAACATTAAAACCTGAAAGGTACTGCTCACTTCCCCTCCTGCCATTTCTGCACCTAGATCTGTTTGGTTTATAAATATAAATGGATTTACGTCCTCATTTTTAATAATAATTGGCTAGACAATAGACAATATATTTAACATGGCAAGAGCGAGTACTAATGTACTAGGAAGCAGCTAGTTTGATTTTGGATGGACACTGTATTGTCTTTTTATAGTAACCAATACTACTCAAAAGAAGCTTCGATAGCGAAATCTCAAATGCTATTACAGTGTGCGTTGCTAAGTCTATGTTCACATCTGTTACTAAATTCATTTTAAATTTCAAATTACATTGTAATTCTAGCACGAACACATTTTCTCTAGGCATTACATTCTACTGGGAAAAAAAACTTAGGTCAGATAAGTAAGAGATGTTCAACAACTTAAACTTGACGCGTATTACAATTTCTTTGCTGAAAGATAAAGAGTTGTAATTAAATCCCAATCAAATCTCAAACCTTGTAACAATGTATGGAATGAAATACATACCCACTGCTATCAGATAAAACATATTTTAAGCTTATAACATATATCATATATGTCTTATCATGAATACTAATATATGGAGTAAAGTTAGAATAAACATAAGTGGATTGAAGCCTCTGTTGATGAAGAACACACAGCAGACACGTTTATGTCAAAGTGGGAGAGTCGCAAGCCCAAATGCGGGCCTGGTCGAAGAAAATAACTTGTTTCGTAGAAACGGCCGTAACTTTCAAACCGTACGTCGGAATTGGACGAATTATATATAAAAATCGACTATCTCGACGAGACGGAGCCATCCAAACCTACCCCTTCGGGTTCGGTTTGCTTTTTCCTTTTCGCCAAATTCCTTACGGTTTGAGAGATATTTGCATTCTGTCCGTTTTTTACTATTTTTAGTAATATTTTAGGAGTCTGTTTTGTTTAGGAAACAAATCCGGTTTGATCTCAGATTTGACCGGTGGACTTTCCTAATCATAAGGAGTCTTTTTAGGTGTTTTAATATTTTAGGAATTCTTTTACTATTTTTGGTAAAGTTTGAGTCCTTGTAGGAATTAGAGTCCTTGTAGGAGTCTTGTTTCTTTTTCTATTTAAAAAGAGTCTTGTAAGCCCTAGAAGCATAACTTTTCATCAATAAAATTTTTCTTTTTAATATTTTCTTCGTGGATTCGAAGTTCTTCGTGAATTCGAAGTTCTTCGTGGATTCGAAGATCGTTCTTTGTGGATTCAGAGAACACCGTTGGTGGATTCCGAGGTTACAACTTTCGCGCTGCGTCAATTGGTATCAGAGCCTTGTTCCTCCGATCCAATGGCAAGTGATGAAGCCCATATCTCTCGAACTGAGTTCGACGTGCTAAAGGCCGATGTCAATCAGATAAAGACGGTCATGGAGCGACTAGCTGCGACAGTAGAGCGTCTGGACATGACAGGAGATCGAAATCGCGTTGATGGTCGCCAACGACGTGAGTCGACTCCGTATGAAGATTTCGAAAGCGAGGAAGATCATTATGCACCCTCACGTCGCAGTGTTTATCGCAGAGACCGACGACGAAGGGATAATTATGACGTTGGAGGTTTCAAGATGAAGATGAATCTGCCATCTTTCAACGGGCAACTGCATATTGAAGAGTTTCTCGACTGGATTGCAGAAGTAGAGAGGTTCTTTGAGTATATGGAGATCTCAGAAGAACGCAAGGTAAAATTGGTGGCCTACCGACTCAAAGGTGGAGCTTCAGCTTGGTGGGAATCTATTTGTCTGAATCGATCTCGTCAAGGAAAGCCGAAGGTCGAAAGGTGGGAGAAGATGAAGAAGCTACTGAGAGCTCGTTTTCTACCAAGTGATTATGAACAAGTATTATTCGGGCAGTACCAAAATTGTAAGCAAGGTGGAAGAACCGTGGATGAGTACACGTTATGAACAAGTATTATTCGGGCAGTACCAAAATTGTAAGCAAGGTGGAAGAACCGTGGATGAGTACACGCAGGAATTTTATCGGCTGTCATCCTGTAACAACTTGAACGAGAGCGAGGCCCAACAGATGTCTCGATATACAGGGGATTAAGGATGGCGATTCAGGATCGTGTGTCTCTACAGTAGACCTATACCTTAGCAGATACAGTTAGCCTAGCCGTGAAGGTGGAGCGACAACTCAGACGAAATATTAAAGGATCATGGGCAGCTTCCGACGGATCGCGCACGAGTTTTAAACGTGGTGGAAGTAAACAGTCTCAAACTGTTTCTGAGCAGGATGCAACAACGGAGAAGGGCAAGGGTCCAGCGACAACGACAGCAAAGAAGCCTACCCCAGCGAACCCATATGCCAAGCCTGACCCGATCAAGTGTTATAGATGTGGACAGCCTGGTCATCGGTCCAATAGTGCCCTAAGAGAGGTATTATGAACATGATGGATCATGAAGATGAGGATACAGACCGAGACGATGTTAAAGACTATGATGATGGGTTGGATGCTGATGATGATGGGGAACAACTCTCATGTGTTGTGCGACGACTATTGTTGGCTCCAAAGGCAGAAGAACCACCACAGAGGCATAACATCTTTCGAACGAGATGCACGGTGCAACAGAAGATCTGTGATGTCATCATTGATAGTGGGAGCAACGAGAATATTGTCTCTCGGCACATGGTGGAGAAGTTAGGGCTGAAGACGGAGAAGCATCCTGCTCCTTACAAGATCGGCTGGATTCGCAAGGGTAATGACGTACATGTTGATGAAGTGTGTCGGGTATCCTTTTCCATTGGCCGAACTTATGTGGATGAGGCATTGTGTGATGTAGTAGAGATGGATGCATGTCATATGTTGTTAGGCAGACCTTGGCAGTTTGATGTTGATGCCACGCATATGGGGAAAGATAACGTTTACATCTTCAAGAAGGATAGTCGCCGAATTGTGCTCAAGCCTCTAACCGAGAAGGGGCATGTCAAAACCAATGTGGCTGAAAAGAAGAATTTCTTGGTCGTTGACAATGAAGACTTTATGAAAGATGTGAAGCAGTCTGATGAGATTTATGCCCTTGTTTCGGGAAAAAAGGAGTCTGCTACTGTCGAAATTCCACCTGAAGTACAAACCCTCTTACAGCAGTTTGATACAGTTATGCCTGATGATCTTCCTTCTGAATTATCCATGTTTAGGGACGTTCAACATCAGATCGACTTTATCCCTGGATCTCGACTACCAAATTTGCCACACTATAGGATGAGTCCGAAGGAAGGAGAGATTTTACAGAAGCAGGTGGATGATCTCATCCAGAAGGGCCTTATACAACCTAGCATGAGTTCATGTGCAGTGCCAGCACTACTAGTCCCAAAGAAGAACGGAGAGTGGCGTATGTGTGCGGATAGTAGGGCTATCAACAAGATTACGGTGAAGTATAGATTTATTATTCCACGCTTGGAAGACATGCTAGACATGTTATCTGGTTCAAAAGTCTTCTCCAAGATAGATCTCAAAAGCGGCTATCATCAGATTCGGTTTAGAGAAGGAGATGAGTGGAAGACTGCTTTCAAGACAAAAGAATGCCTATACGAGTGGTCAGTCATGCCTTTTGGCTTTTGGTCTTTCTAATGCCCCTAGCACTTTCATGCGATTGATGAATCAGGTATTAAAATCCTTTATCGGCAAGTTCGTCGTAGTTTACTTTGATGATATCCTGATTTATAGCCAGAGTGAGGCTGCACATCTGGACCACTTGAGGGAGGTACTAACAGTTTTGCAGAAGAACAAGTTGTACATCAATCTGAAGAAGTGTAACTTCATGACCAGTAGCCTCGTGTTTCTAGGCTTTGTTAGTGCAGATGGTATTCATGTTGATGAAGAGAATGTTCATGCTATTAGAGATTGGCCTACCCCGAAGACTGTCAGCGAAGTTCGTAGTTTTCATGGTCTAGCAACATTCTATAGGAGATTTGTAAGAAATTTCAGCAACATTGTAGTACTTATAACTGAATGCATGAAGAAAGGAAAGTTCAATTAGGGGGAAGATGCAGATCGTAGCTTTGCACTGATCAAGGAGAAGTTGTCCACCACACCTGTACTTGCACTTCCAGATTTTCAAAAAGTCTTTGAAGTTGATTGTGATGCGTCAATCATAGGAATTGGTGGTGTTTTATCTCAGGAAGGGCGTCCAGTTGCCTTTTACAGTAAGAAACTCAGCGAAGCTCGGCAGAAGTGGACCACATATGAGCTGGAGTTATATGTCATAGTTCAGTCTTTGAAGCATTGGGAGCACTATTTGATCTCGAGAGAGTTTCTGCTTCACGCTGATCATCAGGCTTTGAAGACCCTTAATAGTCAGACTATGATCAACCGTATGCATCAGCCGTATGCATGCTCGTTGGATTGCATATCTGCAGCGTTTCACCTTTGTTTTGAAGCATAAATCCGGACAACAGAATAAGATTGCAGATGCACTCAGTAGGAGAGCTGGATTGTTGGTAACTTTGAAGACTGAAGTGATTGGGTTTGAGTACCTTAAGGAGCTGTATGCAGAGGATGAAGATTTTAAGAAGATTTGGGACGACTGTCTTCAAAATAAATCAGTCAAAGGCTTTCATATTCAGGATGGTTATCTATTTCATGGCGATCAATTGTGCATACCCCAGAGTTCACTAAGAGAGCAGATAATTTGAGACCTTCATGCTGGCGGACTAGGAGGACATTTGGGACGTGATAAAATAATTACAGCCATTGAAGAACGATATTACTGGCCTCAGTTGAAGAAGGGAGCAGAAAAATATGTGCGGCATTGTCCAGTTTGTCAAGTTGCTAAGGGACAGTCTCAGAATACGAGATTGTATACACCTTTACCTGTTCCTGATGCACCATGGCATGATATCTCTATGGATTTTGTGTTGGGATTGCCTCGAACCCAACGAGGCATGGATTCTGTTTTTGTTGTGGTTGACAGGTTTTCGAAGATGACACTTTATTCCGTACAAGAAGACTGCAGATGCGAGCAATATTGCCAATCTTTTTTTTCGGGAGATAGTTCGCCTTCATGGAGTGCCGAAGTCCATTACATCCGATCGAGATTCTAAGTTCTTATCTCACTTTTGGAAAACTTTGTGGCAGCGATTTAATACTTCTCTTAAGTTTAGTACTGTCTATCACCCTCAAACAGATGGCCAAACTGAAATGGTCAATCGCACACTCGGTAATCTTTTTAGATCCATCTCTGGAGATCGACCGAAACAGTGGGATCTTGCTTTGGCACATGCTGAGTTTGCTTATAACTGTATGGAGAGTCGAACTACAGGCAAGGCACCCTTTGTGATTGTGTATGGAAGGCATCCGAATCATTATCTCGACCTTGCTCCATTGCCTAAGCTTCTGTATGGAGAGTCGAACTACAGGCAATGCACCCTTTGTGATTGTGTATGGAAGGTTTCCGAATCATTATCTCGATCTTGCTCCATTGCCTAAGCTTCCCGGACAGAATGTTCCTGCGGATCATATGGTTAAAAACAATGTTACATTAAACGCTGGGCGCTTCTAGGCGTCGAACTTGGCGCCCAGCGCTTAGTCGTCTAGGCGGACGCCTAAGCGGTTTCTGGGTATTTTTTTTTCTTTCTTCATTTAAGTGGTGGTCGATGAAGTTTTGTTGAAGGTCGGAGGAGGTAGTGGAGATGTTCATATTTAGAGGTTAATGGAGTTTGGAAGACGTATAGGCTACGACACATAAAATCACAATCAAGGCCTACAGAGTGCAATCTACGTAAGCAGACAATACTCTCCTAAACGCTCGTAAAATCTAGGTGGGCAGCCTAAATACCGTCTAAGCGCTAGACGCTAGTTAGGCGGCCTAGGTACCGCCTAGGTCTAGGCGTACGCCTAAGCGGACTAGGCAGAGGTTTTTTAAAACAGTGGCTAAAAAGATACGTGCTATCCAGCAGGAGGTGAAGGAAAAGATAAAACAGTCTAATGCTAAATATAAAGCCGATGCTGATCAACACAGGAGGAAGAAGCTGTTTGAAGAAGGAGACATGGTGATGGTGTTTCTGCGAAAAGAACGTTTTCCCGTGGGCACCTACAACAAGCTGAAGAATAAGAAGTATGGTCCATGCAAAATACTGAAGAAGATTAGCGACAACGCTTATGTGGTTGACCTTCCTACAGGTTTGGGTATTTCTCCTAGTTTCAATGTTACAGATTTGTTTGAGTATTACCCACCAAAAGAAACAGCTATTCATGCAAGTGTAAGCTCGGGATCGAGCTCTTTTCAAGCAGGGGGGACTGATGTAGAACACACAGCAGACACGTTTATGTCAAAGTGGGAGAGTCGCAAGCCTATATGCGGGCCTGGTCGAAGAAAATAACTTGTTTCGAAGAAACGACCGTAACTTTCAAACCGTACGTCGGAATTAGACGAATTATATATGAAAATCGACTATCTTGACGAGACGGAGCCATCCAAACCTACCCCTTCGGGTTCGGTTTGCGTTTTTCTTTTCGCCAAATTCCTTACGGTTTGAGAGATATTTACATTCTGTCCGTTTTTTATTTTAGTAATATTTTAGGAGTCTGTTTTGTTTAGGAAACAAATCCGGTTTGATCTCAGATTTGACCGGTTGACTTTCCTAATCATAAGGAGTCTTTTTAGGAGTTTTAATATTTTAGGAATTCTTTTACTATTTTTGGTAAAATTTGAGTCCTTAGGAATTAGAGTCATTGTAGGAGTTTTTTTTTTCTATTTAAGAAGAGTCTTATAAGCCCTAGAAGCATAACTTTTCATCAATAAAATTTCTCTTTTCAATATTTTCTTCGTGGATTCGAAGTTCTTCGTGGATTCGAATATCGTTCTTTGTGGATTCAGAGAACACCATTGGTGGATTCCGAGGTTACAACTTCCGCGCTGCGTCATCTGCCCACCAACCTTTTTATCCCTTGGATTTCTTTAAAATTCGTGTTGATGTGTGATACACATCAAGGTCATCTTTGAGATGTGTGTCCTGATGTGTATCGCAACACAAATCTCAAAGCAAATTCAATAGATAAAAAGGCTGGTGGATATAGTCTTCTCCAACTTAGAAAAATGTTGTTTACTGTTCCCCTATACTATTTTGGCACTACTACTCTCAAAGAGTGGGGTCATGATGACTCACCACTTGAAAATTGCAGTGGTGAGTGGTGAGTCATCATGACCCCATTCTTTTGTGAGTGGTAGTGCCAAAGTAGTATAGGGGGAGTAGTACACTTATCACTACTCCACCACTTAAGTTTATTCTAGCTTTACTCCTAATATATATCTTCACGGATACTATGAATAAATTGTAACTTTTCTTCTAGAATTTGTGTGAGACATTCTTTTAGTATTAAAGTGTAATCTTCACTTACCCTGTTAAGAAGTAGGTACATGCCTAATTGACTAAAATATAATAGACCTGACTAATATTTTAATATCTAAACAGGACAAATTACTGCACTTTGTAATTCAAGGCTAAATAAGAGATTTATTCTTGTTCCAGGTCTTGTGCTGCCTAGTGAACCAAGGAAATTGTTTACTATGAGAGGAGTATGTTCAAGTTTCAGGATATCAAACATTGTGGCTAAGGGACAAACAAGAACAATTTTCAGCTTGTTAGTCTAATTCTTTTTTATTCGCAACAGTTATTGGTTGTATCCAGATACATTTACTGATATAGCACTTATGTGAGAATCATTATTTATACAATATTTGTATCGATTAAGTACTCATCTTGTACTCATTTTTCTGATATCTTGATCATGATTTCCTTGCAATATGCAATATTAGAGCAAAATGTTTGAACTTTTTTTTAGTATATAAATATTCTTGATGAGATATTTCTTGTGCTATTTTTCGCTAGAAACTATTTAGGGTAAGTTTCACAAAACTACCACAAAGTTTGGGGCATGTTGCACAATATTGTCACAAACCATTTTATTAGAAAAAACTATTATGAACTTTTTCCCCCACTAAGCTATATCATGGTTGATGGCAGTAGGGCTAAGCTATCATGCATGTGCTATGTCCTGGAAAATTTTGCTCTTATGTACTTTATATATCTTCTATATTAACCTTATAAATTTTGTCAGTTAGATATAAAGAAGAACAGTTTATAATTAGCGACAATTTCCAGTAGTTCATGGTATTTTTCTGCTGTTTTGGGAGTTCAAATTGTTTCCTTTCATATCAATAATTCATAGTAGTTATGTACAAAACCCCAAACTATTTGGTAGTTTTGTGAAAGTTACCCAACTTTCTCTAACTATTGCTTACAGGATTGGTGGAAGTTGTTCACCGAAAGTTTTAACTTCCAGTTTCTTCTGTAGAGGTTAGTTAAGAGTCTCCTATACAACTCTCTTAATTATTATTGATCTACAATTGCTTTAATACTTCAATTGTCAATTACTCAACATGTAAACTTGAGCTTCTGAAATTACAAGAACTCACTTTAGGATTTATATAACTCGAGTAGGGACGTATTCTCTCACATCTTTATTTCATATCCGAGAAATACATAGTTTATTGTTACATGCAAACTCATGTATGCAATTATTTTCTTATTTCACTAAAACTGTTACAATATGTTGAATGTTGTGTCTATATTGGAGATAATCATAAATTCTAGCAGAATTAGAAACTGTAACTTTTATCTTTATTTTTACTATGTTTCAGGTCTTGCAGCTTCCTTCTCGTTATTGTGGATCACTTCAATCTCTGAATTCCTTGTTGGATGCACATGGACAACCTCAGTAAGATTTGGTACAGGCTCATCCTTGTTTTTGTTCATGTAGATGAAGTAGAGAATCATTTGTGCCATTCCAAACAAGAAACCCATTACATTTGGAAACTGAAACAAAATTCACATTGAAGAGAAGTAAGAAATTTTTTAAGAAGACAGTAGAACTTTATGAAGGGTAAATTCTACAAAACCATCACGAACTTTGAACGGTTCTGCATGATACTGCCATAATATATTTTATTAGAGAAAATTAAAACCAACTTTCAAAATGCAGAGAAGTACTAAGAATTGTCGAAATTTCTTGTTAAGGATTTGGATAAAATTTCTAAACTAAACTTGAAACAGAAGGAGAGTGAGTAAAGATTGATATAGCACATAAGGGCAAAATTGTCTAAATCATGTCATGTGCTCCGCACGTGACGGCTTACCATATTTTTCATCAGTTTATAAGTTCGTAGTTTTCTCTGTGAAAAAGGGCTATGGTAGTTTTGTAAAATTTATCCTTTTACAAAATAGGAACTTACTGCAACGAAGAAATCCTTGAGGAGCAAACCATAGCAAAACCAAGCAAGGGCACTGAGGGTGAGGAAGAAGGACAATGAAAATGGCATGTACTCGACACTTTTTGTTCTGATTACTAGTTTCTGCACAAACAAGAAAAAAGATCTTTAACGGATTATGTCTTTATTTGGTGATATTGCATAGTTCTAATACAATATGCGCTTACTATGATACTCAGAGGAGCTACAAACACACTGACAGCAAATGCAGCACAAATTCCTCCAACCAAAGCAACTCGTCGTTTTCCCTTTAGAAATAGTAGTGTGAGAAGTATCATGGATCCGTATAGTCCCACATTGAGTAGAAAAATCAACTTCAGGGTGAAAGCCTGAGGTAACATTAAAGTCAGAGAAAACCTTTATTATTGAACTATCAAAAAATATCCATATACTTTGTGTATTAGCATGTACATACTGTACATGTATGCCGAAGTTGGGACCAATCTCAGTGCTCAACATTTAATTATGATTTTTGTTCCCAAAAAAACCTAAAAAGCACATTATTATTATTATTATTATTATTATTATTATTATTATTATTATTATGTATATAAAAAAAAGAAAACTATTTGTTTGTATGACCATTACTTTAGAATGCGTTAGTTGAATTGTCTTTGTGCAAACAAGGCCTTAGATCAAGAAATATCTTGTGCCTAAAATATCCTAAAAACAAACTAAATTTGTAAAACGTCTGTGAATGATATGCAATACCTCTATAAGGTGAAAGGATAAGCCAAGTATCAGCATCAAGTGATTGTGACCACTAGCCAATTTTCAATGTAAAGCTTAGTAGATTGCATTTTTAGTAAGATATCCAAAGTAGATTATATCTCTTTGGTTATCTTTTTCTGGGGAAAAATGCTACAACGTTTGAAAGTAGCACTTTGACCACTATACCAAAGGATGTTATTTTGAGAGGTTTATTTTGGGAGGCTGGATATAAAGCTGTTGAATTTAACGTGCACTAAAAATGCTTACGATTCTTTGTGGCAGCTGATATGTAACTATATAGCTTCCTTATGAGAAGCATAAATCTACTTCCTATGGTGTAGGGGATCATAGCCCAGTTTAGCTTTCTAGCTTTGCTACAAGGAAGAAGAGACAAAATGGTACTGGAATAGTCCACATCTCCACTCCTGATTCTATATGCGTATACATGTATATCGGTGATGTATATATGTATTATATGCACGTAGGTATATATGCATGTATGTATTGAGAAGAACTCAGTGAAGCAACTTACTTTAAAAAAATGTTATATACATCGTAGTGGCATATCATTTAAGATTAATAAAGAAAATATCATATGTACTAAGTAATATTTCAATATTCTTGAAATTAAACAAGGATTAAAACTCTCTAAGAATTTTTTTTATTAGGTATTAAGGCTTTGTACTTAGTTCAATATTTTATCTATAGCAGGTGTGAAGTTATTCTGTGATCTCACCATGGACTTTATTATACAATTTTCTGCAACATATTGTTGTGCTGTCTCTTATCTACTCTTATTTTTCAGTAAAGGCATAAGATTGTCAAAAGTATATTAGTTTGACGCTAAGGGCCCGTTTGTTTGCATTATTTGGAGGGGGGAGCCTGCAAAAGTTATGATTTTTTCTTAACTTTTGCAGGTTTTCACCCTCCAAAAATTACGTCCAAACGGGCCCTAAGTACTAGTCATAGGAAACGGTTTTCGGCATACAACCAATGAGACTTCTTGTAATTCAATGCAATGGTTAGATATTTCCAAGAGATGCAACATTCTGTAGCGAGAACCTAGGATGTAAACTGCATATGCATGTCTAAGTGCATGATGCATGCATGTATGTGATGTGTGTGTATGTGATGTGTGCGTGCATGCATGCGTCTGTTTGTTTATTTGTCTAGAGAGAGAGAGGGAGAGAGAGAGGAACTGTTGTCCAGTTAAACTGGAAGAAACTGTTTTCTCAGAAATTTCAACTGTTGGATGGATTTGACTGTGCCTCATCTTATATTTGTCTAAGTTTTCATCCATTTAAATGGGCAGTGGCTCACACGCGCACACACGAGAGAGAGAGAGAGAGAGAGAGAGAGAGAGAGACCTGGGCTTTCCCAGGTGCATAAATGAGATAAATTGCCAAGTAGGCAGCCTCTATGAAGAGAGTTGCAGTGTTGATGGTAAGTAGCAACACATCCCTTGTGAGCACTGCATAATACAACCATAGTGTTGCGCTGAACACAGCAACCGCATACGGAATCGATTGAAACGATTCGGTTGATTTCTTCTTATATATCCTATAAAACGTTGGCCTTCAATAAAGAAAATAAAATGTCAAGCGCTGTATCATTAAATGAGAATTACATATACTTCATCTGGTCATCAAGTTCTTAGTATAACTAGCTTACACTGGTGACATAACAACTAGAAAAGATGTTAAGTTTCCTGCAAAATTTAGCCAAATTAAGCAAGTTAGAGAGAGAGAGAGAGAGAGAAGTACAATTAAGTAAGAAGCTAGAGAGAGAGAGAGAGAGACAGAGAGAGACAGAGAGAGAGTCACCTAACAAACCAACTCCAAAGATCCATGGATTCTCAATGGTGATGACTACCATTTGTGTGAGGCCAAGGGTTCACTCTTTCTAGTACAATTGTGTGAGATTTCTATGTAGTGGCACTCACTTGCAAAATTAATGGCTTGAGAAGTGAAAGTGTCAACCCTAAAGCTCGTTATATATAAGCTGTTATGAATAGGGATTTTGCAGTACTAGCCTCCTATATCTTCGATATTTTAAAATTAGTCCCTCAAATCATTAAAATTGCTGTTGTTTCCCCCCCAAGTCTTACATCCCCCTATCGCTCTTGATTGGCGGGTTTAGTTTGAATCAACTTATAAGAATTGGGGTGTTTAATAGCAATTTCAATGACCCGAGGGACTAATTTCGAAGCACTAAACATTTAAGGGACTAATGCCTGATGGCCTAATGAATAATGGCGGTGGGATAATATCTTATGTATATTCATGCTTTTGTTGTTAATTGTCATATCTTTCTACGAGTTAAAGCTCACAATTAAGATGCCAAACTTTCACGCTAGGGTTATGACATTCACCAAACCCTAGGGCTTTTCCCCGCCATTGCATTGCATGTGCTAAGCCGGATCAAATTAGAGTGACAAATATTCATCCATCAAGCTGTACTTATCATCTCATGAGGGACACATGTCTGCATCAAAATCTCTCTCTCTCTTTAGGGTTCATATTACTTAATTTTGTTACCAGTGTATAATGTGAACTAGTATAGTACTCATGCTACCTAGTGTAGTATATAAATCTACTCTTTTATACAAATGGGAGAACTCAAGATTCACTATTTATGTCACAGTAATACTACAATAACATTTACTGTAGCAATATTACTGTAGCAAACATGTATCTGGATACTGTAGTATTTTTTGAAAAATATAACTGTAGCACACGGGAATGCTGTAGCATTTTTAAAAACTGTAACAGAGGTGGAATTGTAGCAATCCAAAAAATTCAAAAAGTTACTGTAGCATTAAAAAATCGGGATTATTGTAGTGGAAAAAATGATATGCCGTGTTTTGCACAGTGTTCACGACTAGTATGAAGTAGATAGTAGGAGTATTTGAGCTAGTGTCTAAGGGGCTGTTTGGTAAGAAATGAGGAGTATTTCAATTAGAGTTGTAACAAAATCAGTTTTCCTAGAGCTCCGTTTGGATACCATGGTGTTTTATTTGTTTCCATGGTGTTTTTGCCAAAAACAAAACACCATGCGTTTAGAAACCATGGTGTTTTTTGAGCTAAATCATCCTCAAACCAAAAACACAACACTTATTTCAAAACACCTAAAAGGTATTTTAAGTTTGGTGTTTTGGTTTTGAGTTTGAGAATGTGTTAATATAACATCTAACATAATATATTAAATGTAACATAGAGTTATTATCAACATGCTTATTATACTATACTATACTATATTATACTATATTATAGTTAATATAATATATTAGTAATATTTATTAAATAATATAAAAACATAATAAATAAAATATCTTATATAACAATATAATAACATATTAAATAAAAGTATTAATATGTTAACAATGTATTATATAATAGTAAATAATAATAATATATAAATAAACTAATAAAAAATAATTTAAAAGTTATTGACAATAAATAATAATAAAATAATATGCTACACAATAGAATAATCGATATAATATTATTAGCTTTTTAATAAATAAATTGTAGTAAATTAATAATTATAAAATATTATATAATAATAACATATTTAAAAATAAAATAACAGTATACTAATAATATTATAATAATATATTGTATAGTTAATGTAATATAATATATAAAATATTAATATATTATATAATAAATAAAATAATTTATTGCTAACAAATGTTAATGTAAAATAATATATTCATTATTAAATTACTATTAATAAACTCTAACATATTAAAGACCATAATATATTACATAATATTAAAATATTTATAATATATTAATTTATTAATAACATACTAGTAATAACATAATATTAACATTAATAATAATATTATATTATATTAATAATAGTATAATATTATAGTAATAATAAATAACATTATTATAAAAATATTAATATAATATATAGCAATAACAAATTGATATACCAAAATAATTAAATATATAATTATTTGAAAATAATATGTAATAATTATAATATAATATAACTCATTAAGTATAATATAATATTATAATACATTATACAATTTTATATTGCATTATATTTAATACTTCTAATACTATAATAATGTAAACTAAAAGTTAAATGTGGTGTTCACTTTTTCACTTTCACACCCAAATCCTTATGAGAGGAGAGAATTTACGATATTAGACATTGCTGATGTACGTGATAACAAACTCCAACTAATTGGCAATAATCTGTCTCTAAAAGTAGAATAAAAAGTAGAAAATTTTGTTGAGAATTTTGGGACTGCGGGATCCTTTTAAGTAGGGACCCTTGAGAAATTTATGGAAAAAAAGAAAGTCCCTAATGTGTCGAGATGATGATGATGATGATGGTAATTTCGTAATTAAGAGGCCCAATTAGTTTCTTCCAAGAACTTGTAGTAGATGATGGGGGTACACCCAAGAGATCTCACTGCTTAGCAATATAATTATGAAATTTAACCAGAGGTTATCTCTTAGGATGTAAGCATGCTTGTGCATTGTTCACGAGTCTGATCCATAAATAAATACGATAAGAAGAAAGATAAAAAAAAACACATATTAACGGTTTTAATACTCTAATGACATAAAATAGGGTAAACTGAGCATTTGACGAAACCAGGTCATGAAATAGCTCCTTCTAAATGAATTTGCTGCTATTAACAAGTTCCCTTCTTTAACAAACATAAGTGTTTCAGAGTCTAAAAAATAAATCGATACATAATTTACAATATGTACCTCCAGGACTATGTGCGTATATACATTAAGAGATTGACCAATCAGGATACCGTATGCAATATGTACAAGAACCTTGTGCTCCTCTTCTTTTTCCCCTCAAATTCATCGATAAAGCTTTCAGTTTCAGTTCACTGACTTCATCGAACTCCATTATCATACAGAACTTCGGCCAGTTTTATTTTGTGAAACTAGCTTTAGAAACGATGGCATTGATGGGTCTCTTGACATAAAAATGTTGCCAGCAGGATCCATATGGTACTGCTTGAGTTTTCCGTCCATTATTATTCTACAAGAGTTCCAGCTATCTGCTGATAACTCGATACCATAATACGAAAGATGATCTGAGATGCTGTTCCCGCTCACAGACCTTTTCAAAGCGAAAAAAAATTCATAAATACCGGGTACAAGATGGGATGTAACTGAGAAAAGAATTTCTTTTCTTACCCAAAATTGATGGAACCAAGCATGAGAAAAGTTATCATGTGTCCTCTTTTACTCATTTTTTTGGGGGGGTTTTAATTGAGGATAGACCCCTTGTAGTTGGGTCTATCTGCAATGAGGTGATGGTACATGGGGTCTGCAACAATTGAACTGCAAGGGTCTGTCCCTTTTTCTTGCTTGGAATTCTAACCGTGATCAATGACTAACGAAGCGAACATTTCACTTTTCTCATAGAGTCATAGTTGGTCCCATAATTTTGGGTACAAAATTTATTTCTCAACTGAAGAATATGAGAGGGGGATAGAAATGAACCTGCTACAAGTTGGGTCTTCACCAGTTTTATCACAGATCTCCTCAATCATGAGCACAAGACTTCCAATTCCAGCATTGTGGAGCCATACCTGAAAATTATTCATAGTTCGTAGGTTAAAATGCAGACTTTCTCAGAATTATGAAACAAAAGCACACAATGATAACCTTAATTGAAAGATTATTGGAGATTATTATAATTCAATAATTAACAAACAAAAGTTCAGATCACGCAAAGACAAGACATGCTATTAAGATAATTACGTTTAATCAGCATGAGAATAAAGAGGGCTTAGAATTAACTTTCCAAAGGTAGGGCATATATTACGGGTAAAAGAAGAGAGATGACTTCGGAAGGCACTTAATATGAGTTACCTCTCTTGGGAAATGATGATATGTCTTCTGAGGGAAATAATAATAGTAGGGTGGTAAATGTGGCACCATGTCATGCTCATGAATCACCCTAATTGCGTTTGGTACAAGTTTGCTGAAGTATGAAGCGAAAACAGCATTACCCACTCGAGGTTGTCCAAATGTCATGAGTTGAACATCACTTGCTCCATGATTAACCTGTAAGAGGAGAACAATATTATTTAGGAACCAGGTGACACTACTACAGGAAAGCAGCTACAAGAAAAAGATTTCATATTCAATAGACCCCCCAAAAACAGTTTCATGGAGTAAAAAGCTGATTGTCGAATAGACAACGCCACTAGCAGTGACAAAAACCACCAAACCCATAACAACTAAAGAAGACAAATGAGATTTACTGGATGTTAGAAAAATTTTGAGGGGGGGAAAATCATTGTCTGTGAGTAGAATGGTAAGAATCGATTCCAAATAATGAATACACTTCCTACTGGCAACAGAATTTCCCTTCATAAAGCATGAAACCATCCCGCAAAACAAAGATAATCAGAAGCAGAGAAGAAATGCTTTCTAGGGCTATTAACAATTGTTGAACTCCTACAGTACTTTACTCCTAGAGAATACTCTTGGACTAATCCAGCAGGTTTGAACACCCCAAAACTGACTTAGCTAGATGGAAAAACTGTCATAGTACTTACTACTAGACAATAATAATATCAAAGAGAACCATGACCTCCATAATGTTTGTAGCAGAATAATATGAACTTATTTGAGGATATAAAAGGAAGTTACACTCACAGTAAGATCAAGAGCGCAAAACGAAGCCATAGCCCCTCCCATTGAATGCCCAGTGACCATTATGGGCAGATCTCCATATGACTCCTGTGCCCTTTTAACAGCACTTAGAACGCCAGGTCGCAGTGTTGTGTTATGGTAAGCAGAATAAAAACCATGGTGTACCTTTAATCACAGTAAATATGATAAATTAGTAATCCATATCCATACGCTGCAGATGAGAATTCAAATAAATATAGCCAACCATTGCATCAGGCATGTCAGGATATTTCAGATCCAGTTGCTTCCAGAAAAGGTCTTCGATCCAGTTCTGAATGCTGTAAAATTGACAACCAAAATCCCACTAAGCAATTGCACGCTAAGTATTCAATGGGATCACACAGATTAAGAAAGAAAAAGCATACTTCACAAGGACTCAGTCACCAAAAACACAGCATTAGTTCAGACGAGAAACTTCTAAATTCCAGAATGTAATCCTGCATCTTCTAGACTCAATACTAAAACTTTTTCATTCTTCCTTATGCAACTCGAGGAAAGCACTGTCAAACTTTATCAGAAACCGAATGTAACCTTACATCTTCCAGACTCAACTACATCACTTGCACTCTCCCATATACAAGGGAAGTACCACCAAAATTTTATTGGAGACCAAGATGCTCGGCTAGAAATACATCTCAATGTAATTAATAAAATCCAAAGAATCAAATTCATGGTAACTTAAGAACAACTGCGGAGAAGCAGAAACAAAAATGAAAAACAAGATAAACAAACCAATTATGATGGCTAATATTCCCAGGAAAAAGAGAGGGATACTGAATAAATCTGATTGAATAGAGTTGTTTGCAAATAGTCAAAACCTCACAATCAAATTTATAATAAGGATACAAGTATATTTTTTATGTAGAAACAAAGCCAAAAAACTAAAAACCATTAATATTTTAAATTATTTATTGCATTTCGCATTAGAAAAACAGTATTGAATAATCATGAGCTATAGCTCAGTTGATGTTATAGTTGTTGTTTCTTTTATTCTAAATGTTTAAAACAAGAAAAGGGCAAAACCATACAATAATTGGGAAACAAATATGGAAGTCTTACACAGCAAACAGATGTTTCCTTGGCAGAACAAAGGGAATTTTAGCAGCAGGTACAAGTTAAACAGTATTGAATATTCATGAGCTTATAGCTACGTTGATGTTGTAGTTGTTGTTTCTTTTATTCTAAATATCTAAAACAAGAAAATGATAAAACTATACCATAACTGGGAGACAAATATGAAAGTCTTTGAGACAGAAAACAGATCTTTCTTCGGCAGGAAAAAAGGGAATATTAACTTAGTCCAAAAAACAAACCAAGAAAATACTTATCTTTTCAATCAAAAAATTCTAATTCACACCAAAATGGATTTCCAGATGACCATCATGCCTGAATTGGCATTATACTTGTACATTGTGGTATCCATTTAAATTTTTTCGGTCCTTAGTACCAAAAGTTCAATAATTGCTCTTGCAAAAAGGAAATATTTGAATTTTGATTTATTATTTATCAGAGGATTTGCCCTCATGACAGCTTACTCTCCAAGCCTGTCTCATCTAGTACATAAATAACACGTTACCATGCATACAAATAAAACCAACGCCGGTCTAGTTACAACAAGTAGTTAACTTGGAATTGATAAAAAAACAATAAGTCGTGATGACAACCAACTAATTTAAGTACCTGTGTTCTTGGGTTCCTCTGAAAGCGATAATTACAGAATTAAGACTGTGATCAACACCAACGAATGCCTGCAAGTAAATTGAATTTATTGACTACAAATGCAAAAGTCATTCATGCTCAACTATCTGAAGAGAATATCAACAAAGTTGATGATTGAGGGTTGAATATAATAAGAATCACCTGTAAGCAGTTCTGGACATCAACAATCAGCTCTGTCATCTCAAAATCCTGTTTCAATGCAACAATCAATTGGCTGAGATCAACAGAATGAAAACAGGCTATCACATCGACTAATTATCTGTGGACCATACCAAATCTAAGCACATGTACTTGTTTTGAATGTCATTATAAACACAAGAGATATAATATATATACCATTGTCAGATCAGAACACCTAGAGCAAGTCCATGTAAACAGTTCCGTTAGATCAGTCATGTACACCTGCAGAATGCAGTAAACTAGGTTCAGAAACCCCATAAAGCATGGAGACATATATGTATTTGAGTAGGTTCGGCACAAGTGCAAAGAAAAAAAAACAAAAAACAAAAAACAAAAAAAAATATAGTAGAACCAATAAACATGGAAATCATGCATATCTGGTTCAATTGAGGTGAAAGAATCCATATTATTTCTTTTTCTTTTTCTTTTTTTTAGTGCCAGTAGAACATGCAGTCTGAGCAGTTAATTATACATGAAGTTTAGGATGACCTAAAGTAAAAGAGACCTCCGGCAGAACTTACAGCAGAAGCATACTCCACAAGTATCTTGGCAAGAGTATGGTTGTAGATATGACTGTAATCCTCATGCTTGATCTTAAGCTCTGCAATTGTCAGAAAACAACAGGATAAGAGTTAAATATTGCAAATATCACTAAAACACTAACAATCAGTGATTTTTAACAGAATCAGAATACACGCATGCAGGTATGGACATATAGAAAGTTAGTTTTGGATCTAGCCAGTATAAAATAAACCTAGAAAATTAGTTTAAACAATAGTATATAGCAGAGGGAAATTCAATATTCTTGAGAAAAACCCTTTCCTGAACCCCTAAGATTAGCTGAGATTCACCCCCTAAGATTAGCTGAGATTCACAAATAATGGGTCAGTGTACCTGCCCACGTGTCAAGGAAACAAACTGTAAATTAAGACTCTCCGCTTAAGGAATGTGTCACATAGGCATTTAGGGCATGTAATGAGGATCCATAACTTGAGATCCTGAGGGCCATTAATGTTGAAGAATCTTCTAGCTGTTTGCATGAGTAGTTTTGGATGAGTAATTTTCTAGGAGATCGCATGAGTAAGGCCACCAGCTCAATCTAATTCTTAAGTAGTATTTGTGCTGTTTCTTCTTTAGCATTAAAGAGAATTTCTTTTTTAATTTGAAGAAGTAATGCAAAACCAAACTTGCCTCCATAATGTTTGAGAATCCAAGCAGCCTTGCTCTAGATTCTAGAATGCTCTTCTAAATAAGCAGGGTTCTTGAAAAATGAAGGATGACCCATGACTTTGTGTTACCAGCTGAACAGTTGCCTCAGATTTTAGGATGTTAGGTTTTTAGGTTTTAAGCCTATAATCAATGACACTGAAGGCCATAAGCTCTCTCTCTCTAAATGAACTCTCTATGGTTATCATATAGCTGATAATACTGGTTCTTACTATCATCTGGTTTTTCCATGTAGTTCACTAATATATTGAGGGTGTAATAACTAAGCTCTAAATATGTGTGGCATATGACTGAAATTACTATGAAAGAATTGATACGGATTTTTCAATCAGGATGATAAACAGTTCCTGTCACCATTAACACGGAAGCATAGCCCAATAAGCCCTCCCAATGTTGAAAAGCCCCCTGCCACAATTTCCTATTTTTTTAAGAAACAATATAAAATGATATTAATACTGAGATAAATCATATCCTGTTTATTATGTATGAGCTATATTTGTTTTACTATGTTAGGGCTGATACACTCAAATCTATTAAGATGATCAGTTGACTCATCAAAGGTGCCTTCCACTCCTCAAAGACCCTCAAACATTCTTGATCAAACTACTAGATGCAAGCCCTTTGATGAATAAAGGAAGTAATGTATTCACCTGTTATATATCACCACTGATTAAGAAGCCAAGACATAACGATAGGTGTTCAAAGAATTATGATATTGGAAATCATCAGAGTCTTCATGCAAGTCAAATTTCTTTTTTTCCCCCAGGACTTAGAATTGAATAGATATAGCCCTAACCACCTCATTGATCCTCAGATTACATCTTCAGCAAACACTTGGTTACTAATTAGTATTTACACAATTATTATTTAAACCCAAACCTATCAGTACATTCTACATGCATGATACTATTTCGAATCACTCACGTCAAATAATCCACGTAAACAGATCCCCAGTGTTATGTTGGCCGACAATTATGTTTGTAGACAACTGAAGTAGGAAGAGGCTGATAGTTCAACTTAACTAACTCCAACAATTATGTAGTTCCCTAAAGATGGCTTCAATAACCAACCCCAATTACAGAAAAATAAAAAGGCGGCGGTCAATGATTGTAATCATTAAGCAGACATTTGTACACGGACCAACAATAATTTAGCATCCACAATGATAAGAAATTGTCAGAAACAAACTACAAAAGTGCATCACTAATATTTGAGAATCAAAAAGTTAATAATTGCACTGATCCCCGTTACTAGGATTGGGCCCCTAAACTAATTCTTAAATAACTATCCAGTCAAGTTCGAAACTAATACTACTTACATCAAACTTTTACCCCATTGCGCTGATGAGCCTAATGAACTGAAACATCTCAAAACTTAAGAAATAAAAATAATAAATTAAAAAAAATTACTCTCTTTTCATAATTTCTACAAACAAATGAAGCTTAATTTAGGGACAAATAAAAAAAATCGAAGAATTCTCAGTGTACAAACCTAATCGAAGGAATTCAACTCAAAATTAAAAGTTACCTCTGCCTTCAGAGACTAGAAACAAGCAAACCAAAATCAACGCCACCAGCCACGGTCGCCGTCCCATCGCCTGATCAAAATTCAACCTTCCATCAACATCTCAAATTTCGAACTAGCCATTTATTTACTTACAAGCAAAAAAGAGGGAATTTTTGCCCAAAAATCCCCAAATCAAGCCGCTCCCAAGTTAGGCCAGATCATAACAAAATTAGGGTTTCAATGCAACTTACGAAGAATCGAAGAACGATAGAGCAGAATCGAATTCGATGCCCAAAATACCCCTCAATAAATTCGTGCAGAAAACTAAAGCAGCGTATCAATCGGGGGGAAGGGAGAGAAATAAATCCGATTGAAATTATCTAAAAGGGTGGCTTATTTATAGATTCTTCCAATTACCAAAAATACCCTTAACTTGAAATATGTTTACAAAAAAAACCGAATCTTAAAAGCTAACTAGTTTCAGGCTCGTGCGATGCACGGATTTATTTAATATACAAAAAATAATATAGCAAAAAAATACAAAGAGTTCAAACAGTTTACGAAGCGTTCAAACAGTTTACGAAGCATCTTGTTTAGAAAATTGAAAAGACAGGGAGAGTTAGTTCAAATCTCAAGGAGAACTTTTTATTTTTTATTTTTTATTTCAAATTTAATATGGAGAACTTTTGTAGAAACTTGACAAGTAGCACTTGCAAGAAGATAGCAATTGATATGTTTAAGTGTTGTTTAAAATGGTATGGGTCATTTTTACCAAGTGGCATTTTTGCCAAGTGGCGAATTGAAAGGTAACAATTTTTAGTAATAGTATATAGATTTGCAATACGGGGACATCTCAAGTTGGGCTGAGAGTGACAAAGCGGACCATGTTCTTTAATTATTTCGTTGTCAGTGAGCAACATGGTAAGCCCGGATACAATTTAGATTTTTAATTATTTCATGGGCAATGGGTTTCTTGGTAATTTGACCTTATCAGTCCTTCATTTGTAATTATCATTTTTACATGTCAAACTCCTTTATTTGCAGTGGCGTTAACCTGTTACCCGTGTTGTCACGTCACATTAAACCCTTTTTGCGTGTGGCTGTTGCGCTCCTTGGTGTTGTCAATGCCAAAGTTTTCATACATTTTCCACCCTTATTTCAATAACACGTGTTTCTAATGAAGAAATTTTGAAAATAGCTTCAAACCAATGTTTTTTTAAAAAAACCTCTCTTTTGTTTTTATTACAGAAATATACTTATTTTTTGGTCACGTCGGCACCGTGACTAGAAAGTGGGCCTATTTTTTTTTAAACGTCTTCCTAATTAGTCGGGGTTGCCAACCCCGACTAATTTGAACTTGCAATTTGTCAGCCAAAAGTTAGCAACCCCAACTAATTAGGAAGACGTTTAAAAAAATAGACATACTTTCTGGCCACGGTGCTGATGTGGCCAGAAAGTGAGTCTATTTCTGTAATAAAAATGTAAGAGGGTTGATTTTTTAAAAAAAAAAATTTGGTTTGAGACTATTTTGAAAATTTCTTCTTCTATCAATTGCAAGGTAAATTGTTTGAATTCGATAGGGAAAAAGATTGAGTTTTTTTTCCTCCATAATGTCTGCTTTTTGGTCAATAAGTATTTATTTGAGCAAGAAATAAGAGTTCGCAGTAAACTCTGATGTCGGTCTTCTCTGGGAGTTATTGTCGCCATGCGTAGTTGCATCAAAACATCTCTATAAAGACGGCAACTATTGTTCTAGGACATTAATACCACGGTTGCCTCTTTTTCATGCATGTGTTTCTAACTCTTTTAGTTTTAATTGAGTTCTTTACTTTACAATTTGTGATTATTTGCAGCAATTTTTCTAACGGACTAGAACAGCACTCTCTCAATTAGAACCATATCATTTCCGTTTCTGTTAAAAAACTATCAAAATCTGCATATTCTTATTTTATAAGCTCTGCTCGGTTTTTGCTTTGCTGTTGCAGCTGCTTCTTCTTCTTCTTCTTCTTCTTTTTGTGACCTCTGTCTTCAATAAATCCAGTGGCCAAACTAATGGAAAAGTTTATAGCAACTTTAAAGACCTCTAATAATTCTTTTTTGTTAATAATTGTATTTTGTTCAAACCTCTTTCTTATCCGTTACCTAGTATTCTATGCTCTTAATTTGATAGCATATTTTGATCAGTTTATTATTCTTTGTGAAGTTAGACATTTGTCCTCTTGCTATTTAATATAATTATTTTTATTGTTGCCTATAAGATTAGTTCAGTAAAGTCCTTAAACAGATATTGCTGTCTTTGTTTGTAGAATAATTTATTTCTGGAATGGTTCTACTTAATTTGTGTACTTTATCCCCTGCTTATAACATTCATCTATATTTGCGTTACATATGTTTGTATATGCTGAACTGCAAATATTAAATCTTGATAATAGTTACTTATTGTCTCTTGTATGCTGGCCCTCCTCAATAATCTATTTGGATTTTGGTATTTGATAGAAATCAGAGATATAAGATTTATTTCTATTGCATCTTTATAAGTCTCTTATCAATCTTTGATAATAATATTGATTTGTTTTCTTGCATATCTATCTCTTTGCATAGCATCTTATTCCCGAAAGTTTACGAACAATTTTTTTTTTTTTTTGAGACGTAGTATTATTTTATGTTAGAATTAATATTCCTGCAAAACAATTTCTATGCTTTCCATACCTTGTTAACAGTTATTACTTAGAGTTTATATTAATTTTATTCTTGATAGCGTACTTTTGTCAGATTTAAAAACTCTTCACGAATCTCACAAAAACTAGTTCTTTTACATTTTATGGCCAGTTGCGAACTGTCTAAGTCAGGTAAATCTGAAAAGTTTACCGGTTTGAGTTACAAACGGTGAGCTAATCAGATGTGGTATTGACTTGCAACTATATAGCTTATTTCCGCTATTAATACCGACTCTTCCATATCCATACCTACACTCCCCTCAACGAGTTACATCGGATTAAAATTGCTACGTTGATGAAGGCCATGGACCCCTTCAACCATTTATTTCAATATAGCAGCTCATACTGTGGTCCTCAAAAAGTACTCTCATCTTTCAATCAGCCAATTGTCATGACCCCAACATCCTTTCTAAGATTTCTAAGCAAACAAGAAAAAAAAAACTCAATTTCCACCAAATTTTTATCATTTAAAACGAGAAGCCCACACGAACCCTTCCAATTCAAGCAATAATACCGAACTCTAAAAAAACATGAATGACCCTCATTATATCAATGAGCAAAGTCCATATAATATATATATATATATATATAATATATAAATATATATATATATATATATATATATATATAATTATATATATAATATATATATATATATATTATATATAATCCACAGAAAAAAAAAATAGATTTTGACAGCAAGCATGTCCAAAGCCCTACAAACAGAGCAACACTGTTGATTTAGATACTAATAAATCTATTTGTGGGCACATATGATTAATCAATGTGTAATGCTATCTTCAGGATATTACCACTAAAGTGATGCAATAAGTTGGGTTAATTGGTATTTAATGTAATCATGTGGTCTATATGTTGCAGAATTCGTAAGGTTTGTAATTGAATTTATTTGAGGGGCTATAATTTAACAAAGTAGCAAACATTCTATAAATAAAGGGGTTATGTCCCTAACCTAGGGTTAGCATTCTCTCTAATTCTCTTGCACCCCATCTAAGAGAGAAATTCGGCGTTAAGGAGAAGACCCTGAAGGTTTAGAAGACCAAAACCAAAATCACAGATCAACCAATGGATTTAGGTATACAGCGCTTGCGCGCTCTTTTTAGATCTTGTTATCTCTTGAATTAATCATGGGCTATATGGTTTTAGATCCCAATTTATGATGTAGGATCTAACAAGTGGTATCGAGCCACGCCTTGATAATTCTAGGGATTTAGTTTTATCTGGGTTTTTGATGCTTAATCTCTAGTTAAAAAGATTCATTTTTTGGGTTCGGATAACAGGTAATTTCGGTGAAAGTAAACGAAAATTTTTTCGGGTTGAACAGTAAGTTTTTTTCAGATGAACAGTAACGAAGAAAATCGCCGGTGAAAAACAGTCAACTTTTTGGAAAATTTGTATTTTTCTTTGTTTTTTTTCGCAATTCTGGACTCTGTTTTGAAAATAAAAAAATCAAACAGATTTTTTGTAGTTTGGCGGCTGGCGGTTTTCAGTCTTGAACGCTACAAGGGTTCATGGCGAAATTAAGGAGGTGGTTACACCTCACACGAACTCGCTTCGCTTCAATTTTAACCGGCTTTCGGCGCTCAAACAATCGCGCTTCGTTCTAAGGTGAACCTTCGCGTTCAACTCCAGGTGAGCGTCAAAGCTAATTTAACGAACCTCGGTCGTTCTAAGGTGAACGCTCGCGTTCAACTCAGTGAGCGGGCGTGGAAAGCTCAATTTTAACGAACCTCGGGCGTTCGTTTAAGGTGACCTCGCGTTCAACTCAGCGTGAGCTTCCAAGGCTCAATTTTAATGAACCATCGGCGTTCGTTCTTTCAGACGAACCTCGGCGTTCCAGTACTCAGACCGAGCCCTCGCGTTCGTGACTTCAATCGAGCCTCCGCGTTCGTACTTCAGTCAGCGCTCGCGTTCGTACTCAAGACGAACCTCGCGTTGTGCTTCGTCGAGACCTCGCGTTCGAACTTTCAGACGAACCTCAGGCGTTCGTACTTCAGACGAACCTCGCGTTCGTACTTCAGTTGAACCTCACGTTCATGTTTTTTTAAGCGAACGCTCGCGTTCGTTCCGCAAGTTGAACCTCGCGTTCTTTATCAAACGACACGCCGGACCGTTCGTTCATTTTCAGACGGGGAACGACTCGCGTTCGTGGCTTTAAGTGAGTCTGCGTCACTCATACTACGAACCGTCGCGTTCAGAAGTAAGGAACTTACGTGTTCTTATGGTTAAGCTCGGTTTTTCATGGGTCCAGCTTTGGTATACTTAATTTTATTCAATTAAGTTATGGGCCCTAATTAAAGTTGAGACACCGCAATTAAGTTTTTGGAAATTCACAGTTGATTTTAAATTAAAATTCTTTTTAATTTAAATCTAATTCTGGTTTTATAATCAATTATTAATTCAATATAGAACTAACGGTATTGAAGGGTGTCTCCGCACTCCATTGATTAATTGAAAACAAGAAGTTTGCAAAGTAAGCCTCTCTTGGTAGATTGTTCATAAGGAATTGAGATGTTTGGTGTGTATGCTTCGTGTAAATATTTATGGCCCCAAGGAAAGGTAATATTTATCTTAGACGTAACACATGCTGCGATGACCTAAGCAGTGTGACAATTATAGGTTTACAT